AAAGTTAGACGATTTACATTGGACGAGAAGTTGTTGGCGTTGTCTTTGCTTAAAGCTAGTGGTAAAGGGTATAGACTATTATCAAAAATATCATCCAGGCGAAATCAGTTTCTTGAATGAGCTTTATATTATGTATAACTATATAAACTTTCTACCTAACACATGCGGAAAGTGTATTTTCTGGACTTAAAGGCTTGTCCGAACTCTGCTTTTTGTTGTCATTCGTGCAACTTCCATCACGTGCAGAAACACTTTCCTCACTTGTTAGATTAACAACGATTTTGGATTGTGAGAAAAGGACCTCTTTTGTCATTTTATTTACGATTTAAGTTTTTCATCAAGTTATTGTTAAATGTACGTCATTACTTCTTGTAACTGTCCTTATTATTTTTACCTTAACTAGCATTACCTACCTATGTATGTATACTTACATGAAAAACAACTGTTTCGCAATAATTGTAATTAATTCCATATTCTATTATATTTTCTGTTTCAAACTTTAATAAATATCTAAATTTGTCATCTTAATTCTTAGTCAATTTTACCTTGAAGGCGCTTCAACACTACCGATTTTATGAGTTTCTTCTTTTTGGCACAATTATTTTATGCCAAAAAATGGTAGAAACTTTAAAGTGGTGGTGTTGAATCGCTAGAATCAAACAATGGTGCAAACGATCCACCGGAACGAATAAGATACCGAACGAACCCTCATTGCGTTTTGCATTCGCCAATAAATCCAGAATTACAGAAGCTGACCCCCCCAGTCACTAGAGGCGCTGAAAACTTATAGACAGGTTCTCAACACGGTACTTACCTTTCTAAGGGGGGATGTTTTGTGCAGGTACATGTCAAAATACAAATCAATATTCTGTCACACAAGTTTAACTGATTTTGTTAATAATAAATTGATGAAAAAATATTGGGTTGAGTAGAAAATAAAGCATTGTATGCACCACGGGGATTTCAAGATTATAATGCCCTTCAGGCGAAAGATATCCCTCGGGCCATAGGCCCTCGGGCTAGTTTCGCCTTCGGGCATTATAATCTACATAATCCCCTTGGTACATAAATAGCTATTTCATTTCCCTGCTCCACTTCCCGTCCTCATTTCCCGTCCTCATTTCATTATATGTATTTATGTGGCAGGTATTTTCAAGTTTTTTTCAAAATTGATGACAATGACATAAAATTTAAGCAAATAGCATGAAGCTACGTTCACATTTAATTTCATTTCTAATTTAAATTGGCAAAAATTATGGTTAAAAATAAAATAGTATACCATGCTCGACAGGAAATTTAATTACTGTCTCGAGATATAGTTTCTATAGAATCTCTCGACAGTAATAGCTAATTTCCCGTCTCGGATTGTAATATACTATTACCTTTGTGTAATCGGCCTTACTATTGGCTAATAAAGTAAAATATAACCGAATCTCTGTCAACAGAAAAATAACGTCATCTTTTTTATTTAACACTGTGCAGTAACTATCTCAATTTTATGTCAAATGACGATTTCCTTTTATTATAATCCATTTGGTTGCACCTTATTAATGCTTCAATAGTTATTGAGAAGTAGCTCTAGGATGCTGACTGTCACCCATAGAGCTGTCACCCTTGTTTGAAGTCATCTGGTTTTAATACTGAAGTGAACATTTTGACGTTCTGCTCTTCTATGTTTTGACAAAACGGACCCTAATAATGGACTGGTATTAAACCGAAAGTGCTCGGTAGCATTTCTTTTAGTGAATTACCTAAGCCTAGTGTTCCATCGTTCTAGTGTCTTTCTTGAAGACAGATTATTGACTATCCGTAGAAAAATCGAGCTCTAAAAATTAGTAATTCTTACACATCTTAGTTGAAGTTGATTGCTGCCACGAATGTAGTGATTACAATACCAATATGATGATCGCAATACCGACCGTGATAAAACAAAACCGTATGCTTTTTTTTGAAATAATTTTTATCACAAAACGATACTGAATTGTTTGAGGAGAGAGACTTACAAAAATGTGTGTCTCTAACCAAAGCTGTCTCATGACTGATTTCTCTATTCAAATCCTACTTGTACATCCCTTCTAAAAATGTTCCTTATCTTAATGATATTTTAAAACCCCTAAATAAATATCGGCAAATACCCCTTTCGTTAATGAATTAACAGGAGGCCCATAATATGCTCAGTTGCTCAGTTTGCTCAGCGAATAATTATTAGGGGTGGGTCAATAGTTTACACATACGTACAGAATGGCAAGGAGGCCACTGAATTTAGAAATAGTTATTTTCCTAACAAGTGCGCAAAGTGTTACTTTTCCTCACGCAAACGAACGAAGTGAAGCGGAGTTCCGATAAGTGTTTGCGTGCGGAAAAGGCACTTTGCGCACGTGTTAGGAACAAAATTTTTCCTACGAGCTTTATATCAGGTAGGTAACATCTTAAAGCGTTTAAATTTGATGCGAAAGAAGTTTGTAGATTCTTGCATATAAATGGAGAACACAAATCCGACAATGTGTAAAATTTAATTATATTCAGTGTTTGTATAGATGTTGGCTGATATAGAAACAGAGGAAAAATTTGTCATCATGTGTCAAAGTCGACAGGTGCACTTATTGTTGCTTGACAATTATTTTTACTTTTCGGCACTCAGTGCGGATACAGGCCTTATCCGCACTGAGTGCGGAAAAGTGTAACTTTGAGAACGGAAATGCGTGCGGAAAAGTACTACTTTGCGCACGCTCGTAGGAAAAATAAATAATTAAATTACATTAACTATTGAAGTGTGAAAATTCAGAAATACACCAAAAAAAAAAAATCAGCAAACGGTAATTGATAATTCTGAAAAGAAAGTAAATAAGGCATGTAACTCAACCAAATCTTGACATATAAAACCAATAAAACACTCGAGCAATTTTCGAATCAAAATACGTAGTAATATTTTCACAGTACGGTCAAAAATTGAATAATTTTGAAATATAAAATCAATTGTTGTTGAAACACATTAAATAAAAAAAAAATGAATAAATAGAGGTAACTCTCAATCAGATTCATCAAATTCAAATTCAAAAAAAAAAAAATATTACAATGTACCTCAATATACTTGCCATATAAGTTCATTAACAGTCGCTGGCCACTCATTATCATGAAATGAAAATTTAAGTTTCCAGAAAACTAATTTAAAAAAATGTAGGTATTGATAAATATGGTATTCAATAAAATCAACTTGCACCTGTATGAAATCAAAAGTTGGGTTAAATGGTCAGGAGATATAATAAAAATCCCCAAATATATAAGTATAGGACCCTGATTAAAAATTGATTAATTTTCGACGATGTAAGTACCTACTTACTCAAAAATTTGAAAGTTAGAGCATGTTGTCCAACCTTGACTTCAGTTCAGATTACTGATTATGAATAATAAAATTTATATTCCCAAAATATGGCAATATTGAAAGTTAATTAAAGATGAATCTATACTAAATTTGATAAATCGAAAATCCAGAAAATTAATTATTCCACCATCACCTCGGTGTCAAGAAAGTGAAATTTTGAATATGTGAATGTAAGTCATATCAGAAAAGAAATCAATTAATTTTGTTATTTGATTGTGGAGTAGATTTCATTAGAAAAGGTATTAAAAGTTATCAATGAAACTTTATACAAGCCTAGTTGTTAGGGTTTACAACATAATAAATACAATTCAAATCTTTGGGATTTTATTTGGGTCCTGGACTATTATTTGGGAAAATTATTAAAGGGTCATAATATAGAAAACCTGATTTAAATGTCTTCTAAAATGATATGTCAATCCAATCAATTTCATGTTACATCCTGTCATTTTTTAGGGCAAAACACTACATAGTGGTTGGAAAGGTGAAATGGACTAGGTATCTAAGAGTGTCTGATAATCACTGGATCTTATTAAATTTCTCACAACCGTTTTAAGCTTGAATGGAAGAAATGGGATTGAGAGAAGGAGCGTCGTACCTATTAGAGACTTGAGCGCTCTAGTTTGTATCGTATAAAATGGTTAGATTCAACTCAAATAAGGTTATATATTTAACAAAAAATATATTATTGACTCCTAGACAAATTGTCTATGAGATCGACTTTAATCTCTTCTGTCTGAAGTCTTTGTCAGATTATGAGGAAAATTAGTTTACATTTTTTAATAATTTTTAAGGTGTGATTTCCATCTGGCTAAAGCGACGTCGACGATATTTTTGTGATTTGGACAGGATTGAGATCTAAATTTGATATTTTATTGAATTTTCTCACCTTTTTATAACCAAAAAATAGATTTTTTTCTACATCTGTCAAAAAATGATGATCTTCGCACACTCATGACAGTTTGCGAAGTGACACTTTTTTCCCAGGTATAGATTTTTTAACGTTCCCATGACAACAGTGTGCGAACTAGCTATTTCGCACCCTAGTGTGTGAAATAGCTAGTTCGCACACTGGTGTCATGGTGACACATACCTGTCAGGATGCCAAAAAATAATTAAAATTCACCTGCCTTTGATTGGAAATGCAATTTTGGCTTCGAATGATCGATATTTGAATAGAGTTGTAGAAAAAATCTCGAACGATTTTTTGACACTAAAATGACATTTCGCGCACTTGATACAAAAATAACTATTCCATGGAAATTCCTACAAAATTTTAATTTTTCTAGACTTAACAATTGAAACGAGTCAAAGAAATCGAACCCACCCTATTTATAGAATGGAAACACAATCAGTTAATGTTATTCCGCAGTTGACTTAAACCATTTTGTAGGACACGTACAAGCTCTTGAATTATACAACGTCTTTTCTCCATCGCTTTGGTCCAATTTGAGAGATTACAATTAACAATGATCGTTACAACGTATCATTCATAGATAAATTAATATAGAGAAAGTTCAATGAGATATTGACTGGATTTATCTGAATCAAATACGATCACATTGTACTCACTCAAAAGTTACAGCACAAGCATTAAGCGTTATTTTATTATTTGTTCTAGAGTGTAGACATCAATCAGCCTGGAGTGATTAGAGAGAACGATGAATTTATTCTTAGCTGCGTAGCCCGAGGATCGCCTTCAATTACGTTCCGCTGGTTCAAATATGAGACGTTCGTAAATTTGACCTACACTCGGTAAGAGAAATAGTACGTAGAGTATTTTCATATTCATTCATTCATTGCAAACAATATCTACATATGAATTCTTTCAATGGTTATTTAGAATCCAAACAAAACTATTATACTGTCCAATAAGCCGCGCTCAAAACAGTTTGATTTTTATGTGTCAAACACTTTGCTTATGCAGCAAAATTAGTTTACGCAAGAGTTTCAAAAAATACTGTTTTGTTTTTTTGGGGAGTAGGCAAGATTCCAATGCAAGGCCAAGTACCATTGATTTCCAAAGTATGGCAATTATTACTATCTACTGCCTCTTTACCAGAATTTAATGAATCTGTCAATATTCATTAGATTCCGTCACCTGAAAGGTATACTTCTATTCCGGTTTCGTGGAGAGGTTTCATTTCAGTCAAATTACAACAATCTAGGAGAAGTTAAGGTCGCAATAAAACAGAAATGAAAAATAACAAACCATAGCGAAGTTAAAATACTCTAGAGATAATCAGAAAATACAATATAACGAAATAACAAAAGGACTTATGGCAAACTTTTCAATAGAGGCTTAATAAAATAAGGAACAATACCAGAAGAATGATAAAACGCCATTATATTATTGATATACGAGAGAGGAGATCAAACGAACCTAGAAAGTTATAAACCGATTAGTTTGCGTTCACAAATCGATTAGGATGTTCATGAGAATTTGACAAACGAATTTATTGCTTCGTCATGAATGCGCTTTATAAAGTTTAGGAAGGCGCTTGATACTATGGAACAATACGTGATGCTGAAGGCATTAAGCAATAATGGTATTGATCAAATATGTATAAATTTTGAAGAGAAAAAAAAAAACAAGGAACGGCAACTCGATACACATTCGAAATAAACATAGGAAAAGCTCAGATCAAAACACAAATATGAAAGAACGAACAGTTGTTATCAACTCCTCAATACACCTTGGACAATTTGTATGTAAGTGCCATCAAACAAAACCAAGAAAAGAAAATAGTTCGAAGGATCTGGGCAGACTAAGTGAACGTGGAGAAAATCTCAATCTCGAAAATACCATTGCAAATCAAGTCCAAAATATACAACAAATGCATCTTACCTGTAACAATTCACGGTGCAGGAATAACAAGAAGCAATTAAAAGAGGAATATTGGGAAATCGCACCTGAAGGCCGAAAGACAAATCTCTGGATAACAACCAGTACTAAGGTAAATACAAGATGCTAAAAGAATATGCTTTTTGAGATAGAGTCGAAAGGGTCATGTAGGCAGACCTAACGAACCGTTATAAAGTGACCGAATGGCCACAGTGAGATGAGAGAAGAAGATCGGAAAAATCAAAACAACGCGGGAACGACGATGTAAAGACACATAGAAATGAATGAGGGTAGCCTATAATCACAGAGTAGAATGGATTATCGAAGATGAGTTAACACCAAGCGACTCCGAAGAGTTCTATAAGCCAGAGAATTCCAAATCCACTTCGCAGAGCTTCTGAAGCTAGGAGATTTAGTCCAAAGCGACTACAAAGAACCCTACATGTCAATAGAGTCGGAATTTAATAATCAGCAAACAAGCCAGGACGATTATTCCAATAAGACTTTACAACGCTCCAGATGTCAGGAGAATTCAAAACTTACAAATCTAGAAGCAAGAAGAAGAAGAGTACATATATCCAAAAACCTGAATAACATATCCAAGAACGTCTTTTCAGCCGCCGGAATAGACAAGAAAAATAGTCTAAACCCAACTAGAAGAGACAATAATATTTCAACAAAGCTCACATTCATAAGACCAAAGAAATATCAAAATTTTCTTTGACTGATTATAAATTGGATTTAGGCCAATGTTGGAACAAACCTCCTTGGTTGGGCCTACCTTTATACTTTACCAAACCTATAAAACTTTGCTTACGTATATCTTCAAACTTCCAGTCTCAGTGATGGCTTGAATTTCACTATCTAACTTTTTACATTTATCTATTCCCAAACCCTCCGATAGATGTGCACTTATCTTAACGCAATGGTAATCCCGAAGATTGCAATCGTTTGAAAACAGTATACATTTTCACTACGCTATCATCTGGATGAGAAAGCTATTGACCTCTGAATCCTGTGCAAGTTTCAATTTCTAATTCTGATGTTTTCTGGAAAATACTGGTGGCAACATGGGATTTGGTGAAGAATTGCTATAGAGGTAAAGAAGAAGTTCTTCTATCCAAGAGATTCCACCTGTGCCTGTGACGTATTTGTAATGAACCAAGCTGCAGACTTTTCACTCAAACTGGAATCGTTTGCTTTCACTCGTTCCCAAGCACTGAAACAATTAGTGGAACAGAAAAAACTTCAACCAAAACCAGAGCTGCAACCAGTACCAGTAAAACAAAAAGGCCATATGTAGAGTCAAAATTTTGAAAATATACGGCTACACGAGATAAAACGTGTAGTGGATTTTCTATCTACCTATATGATGTTACCAGTAAAAATGAACAAGATTTTGAAGACATTGACGATGATGATGGAAACAATTATGACTCATCACTTATTGACAGTAGCATGGTCCATGATAAATATTTAAGTCAATATCCAGATAATGTTTCTGAATATGTTTCAAATTATCTAAATGAATCCCCCAAAATTGATGTGAATCAAGGTCCGAAATATGATCCTAAAACTTCTAGATGGATGTTAGGTAGTATGATAATGGATTTCAATCAAAAAACTGGAAAACTTTATACTGATAAAGAAGAATTTAATACAACTTCAGGGCTTTATAATCTAATTTTTTATGAAGAACCAGGACAATATACAAGCAATGATCTTGATGAATATAAAAGAATCCTAGATAAAACAAATGTATACAGAGTTGGCAACTTGAGCGCTGGTAGACTGAAGAGAAATGTGGTTTAAAATATACACAACTTGTTAAACCATTATTGGGACCTGAACCAAAAATTAGATCATTTTCACCGTCATCGTCCGCCTATAAAGGCAGTGGTTTTGATAAAATGTTGCATAGCAAAGAGCCCGCAGAATGTGTCTATTGGGATGATGTTAATGAACTAGTGTATAGATTAAGACTTTTATAGGAATCTAAACAAGCTGGCAATACATCACATAATAATGAAATTTTATCAATTATTGAGGAACTTCGGGAAGCAAAAGTTATATATTAAAGATGACATGAAATTTTTGATGTTAGTTCTAAAATGAGTCTCGATAAATTCGGATGTCATTCAGATGCATTTAAGCGGAAGCAACTTCTTTATACTAGACCATCGTCTTCTCTTCCTGACACACAAGGTGGAAACATTGATGTGCAACATTTGAAAATTTGTAATTTAAAATTGCCTACGGAGAAAAGTGATGCTACCACCAAAGACTACGTAGATAGTCAATTAAAAGAAAATGACAACTCTCTCGGTGTAAACATAAACAAAATAGATAAAATAGCTCGAGATAACCAGACGAAAATTGGTTATTTGAAATCTGAGAATGAACTATTGGAAAATGATATTGAATATAAATCAAAATCCAAAATAGTAGCTTTAGAAGGGCAGTGTAAAGCACACCTTACGAAAATCTTAGCTTTAGAGGAGCAGCATAAACAGTTTATACAACACCTTCATATATAAGTATTGGTGACAAGAGAATAGTCAGAGCTTCCAAGGCTATAAATGACTTTGATCTGATTCCTAAAGGTCAGTTAATTCAAATAATTGATACCTATGTGTATTGTGAATATCGTTTTATGTTTCAATTTGTATTTACGACCACTACAACAGGGTTGGATGAAATTTTGTTATTTGAATGTTTGAAATAAGTCGGGCTCGCCCTTCGAGAACAGAAAATGACTTGCTATAGATGACAAAAAAATTCGACGATTCTTTGTTGAATTATCTCTCTTTATCCTCAAGTCAATTGCATATTATTATTCAATAGCCTCTGTAAAAAATCATGAAAGATAAAGTTAGTCTTTTTCTATTTAAATCACGGCTTTTATCCAGCATTATAAATTGCATCTCTTTATTTCAGGCACAAATGGGTAAAACTGATTAAGGACCCCCACGTGTCTGACCAGTATACCGCGCTTCTGGCTGTGGAAAGGGCCCAGAAATACGACGAGGGGAAATTTACGTGTCAAGTTGAGGATTTTAATATTCAGCAGTGCATGTCGAAATTTGTTAAAGTCAAAACAGGGCCGCTGGTGAAAATAGAACCCATGAGTTTGACTGTGAAAAAGGTTAGTTAATGAGTCTGCATTCTTGCCGGATTTTATGCTGCTGAATCTCAAATAGTTACTAGGGATATATTTCTAACGTTCAACCACGAATTTTTCATTTCAGACAGGTTGTTAATCTATGCTTCAAAACATTATAACTATTACTGTTTTTCTTATTATTCGCGTAACTAATTTCTACTTTTTAACCAACTTCGAGCAGTAGTAGTAAAATGTAGTTAATTACTTGGTATAATTAAATTCTTCACGAGTTTGAACTTTCACATTATACCGGCTAAACTAATTAAATTTAGAAATTTTTAATCAAATCCGAAAATCGTAATGCAATTAATAAAATAAAAACAAATATTTCAGCTTTTTGCTGTTCTGAACTTTTTCAGAACTCAAATATTTAGGAAAATCTACTTTCGTTTATATTCTTTAGGGCCAATTTATGGACTGACTGGTAAATGCTTGGTTGTTACCTAGCAAGTACTTTCTATGCACTAGATAATAGAAAGTACCTGCCAGGTAACAACCAGACACTTACCAGTTGGCCCTTAGCGTAACAGAAGAACGCACAGTGAACCTGTCGATATGTGGGCTAGTTGATTGGGCTCAGGAAACATCTAGATTTTGATTGATTGATTTCATGTCGAAAATATGTCATCCACATATCTAAACCAGCACTGTGGTTTCTCATTTGTAGTCGAATTGAAATAAAATTTCTCCACGAAATACTTTTGAATCATTCGACTTAATCGATTTCGTAACTCTTGTTAATTTATTCAGTTGGAGTAAAGTAGTGGTCAGGTAATGTTCAAACAGGGCAGTAATGTCGGGAGAAAAGTGTCTTTTGTACTGTTCAAGAGTATAAAACTAGATCGGAGTATGGCCGATAATCACCCATCTGGTTAGCAGATTAATCATCGCTAGCGAATACGATACAGCCCGTGATGCCAGCTGTCCGCTACCCTCACCTTGTTTCTATGAACTCCCCACCTCGAAAACCTTCCTTTTGTAATACTTTTCCTATAACCGAAAGTCACTGACGTTGTGGTCTAGAGGTAAGCGTTTCTGCCTCTTACCATGCAGGCTAACGGTCAACGTCGATGTTTATATTTGGAATTTGGTATTAGCAAGAAACGCCATCTTTCGGAAAGCGATGTAAAACTGGTGGTCCCGTGTATCAGTGATGTGATGCATGAAAAAAATCCTTACCATCGACAAAGATGGGTTCGGCAAAATTTCCAGATAGGGTGTGTGACAAATTCCCGGGCGTCAGTGATTGGCCTTGGTAGCGGAAATAGGTCAACGAAAAGTAAATGAATGCAAAAAAAAAATCTCGGAAGATTTTTTATTAGTGTTTCTCCATCTCCTAGTCCCAAAAAAGGGAAAAAAGCAATACCCTTCTGCATGGGGTAGTCATCTCAGCCCTTTCTGAAAAGAGAGTTAAAGTGCGAGCTATGACAATAGGCGTGAGGAAGCGCTTGATCCCAAGTTAGGGGTGGCTGATCTACTATGTTCCAAAGGCCCAACACAGCTCTGGAATCTCCAGTCGTCGTAGTTTTTATGCCACTGGGCTAAGAATCTAGAGCTGTCAAGGACCGTGTGATGATTGTCATACAGCAATATTCACACTTTAAAAATATCCACACAGGCCTTTCTTGAAGGACAACACCATCAGTCCAATGCAGCAAAGCCTTGGCGAAGGCTTTAATTTCTTCTGGAAAGGAAATGACGAGAATGAGCCCCAAATCCGCGGGGTAGGCTGTGCAATAAAGACTCTCTGTCTCTGACATAGAAATCTAATTTTTTGTCATCCTTGGAATCTAGTGTTGGGGCGTGAGCACTGACTACCGTGGCTCTACCCCGCGGATTCGAGGTAAAAAAATATTTTTTCTGCAAACGTCAAAAAATGACGCCTTTTTTAACCTTAATTCTGCCTGCCCGTTCCGTGAGCGTATAGAAGAGGTAAATCCTCCACATAGCTGTTCGGTTGGCCCACATAATAACTACAATAATGATATATGAGATAAGATATTTTTAAACATAATATTTTTTTTTTACTACTAACCTGAGAAATTGTCATTATTCAATCTATTTTTCTAGGAAAAAATTGAATTTCTCTCCCTAGGTGAATAATGAAAATAATGAAAAAATACCTAGGTTAATAATGAAAATGACGTCATGACGCAAGGATATTGTCATGTTTCTATTGGTTCAATTTCATTTCCATAGGTCAATTTGAAAAAAAATACAGGTTTCTGTAGGTACATAGGAAGTTATCATAAGCTGTTGATAGAGGGCAGCACTTTCAAGAGGGCGTTCAAAAAAAATAATTGGAGCACAGATTTTAAACAAATTTTTCATTTTCTACTAGCAGTAGTAAAAAAAATTCTATATATTCCTCGGTAGAGAAAGTCATTATATACCTCACTCATTATAAACCTCGGCGCGAGCGCCTCGGTTTATAAAAGCGCTCGGTATATAAGGACCAACTTCTCTACCTAGGTATATAATATACTATTTTCTCTTGTGGATTTCAGGAAGGCCATACAACCTTAGTGTTAATGCTTCAATAATTTCTTTCAACCCATATGTTGTGCTTCTGACTGATTTTCGATGACGGAGTTTTCAAGGAATAAGTACTATTGCCAGCGAGTTGTCAATCGGCTTTTATCAGAGATTTCTAGAAGAGAATTCTCTCCATTTTCGAAGGATTGAAACAGCCCGTGACAGTAAGGCGATCAGCTTATAGGCTGATATCGTTTCGCGAGCAATTAGGCTTAATTCGAGTAGTTGAAAGTAGTGTACCAGTTTTGTAAAATTTATTTAAACTGAAAAGAAGTAGTCTCGCTTTTGTAACAATACGTATCCGGATCTAGAAGCGTTGATATTTTTCCTTTGTAATTCTGAGTTATCACGTCCACGGTGGCATTTTCTTTGTCCGCAGGCTAAAGAAGGATAATATACTCGTCTGTATTTAAACTTTTAATGGCTTTTGCTACTTTCGCGGTAATGTTGCTTGTAACATTTTCAAAACTGTACGGATATTTCTATACAATTTTCAAAAAAAAATGTCATATTCCTTAATTTTCGGTATTACCTGTAAACAGGGATTTTTCAAAAACTGCATACTAACAAAATATCTCTTTGGGCATCTATTACTTTTCGAGCGTTTTCAAGTGAACGAGTTCCAGTTTTCTTAAGACCACAAGCTTTACATACTAAAACGGGATTAATTTTCCTGGAAATCATGTTTGACAGCGATTTTTCTGGAATTGAACTATGCATTCGTTCTTGTTAAACTATATTAGGCGTTTGAGATTTAACTAACGGTAAGTAAATTATTCAAGATATGTTTCCATATTCTTTCTGTGTCAAGTGATGGTTTGATGAGAATGTTTCCGCTTTTTTTAATATATGCCGCAATCAGTATTTGTCAGTTCTTTTCTGGTTATTGCGGAGCTGAAATAGTAAGTGCTTCCAGGTCACCTACATATAGGCATCAACAGGAACAGTGGGATACAGCAAAACTGGAAAACGAAGAAATCAGAAGGCGATTCTAGGCGGAAATAGAGCGCTGAAGCAAGGGGCAGTAAGAATGACTGTGGGAGTAAAGCTAAGAAAGAAAAATAGAAACGGGAATGTGAGGAGGTACTAAAGGAGAGAAATAATGCAAGATACAGGAGCTGGAAGTCGATGGAAGGAACAATACCAGAAAATTCTATAAGACAATAAGAACAAGAAATCATGACTTTAAATCCAAAACAAACAACATCATCAAGGACGACAACGGAGATCTAGCAACCAGGCAAGATCAAATGCTGCAAACTGGGACAGTACTCGGAACCACTACTTGATCAGGGCTATACAAACAACGAAGAAGCGGCCAGCTTCCGGACTGCGGAAATGCAGGAAGAATACCCCTCTCGAATTAAAATTGAGAATGCTATAAAAAAAAAGGTGAAAAACAATAAATTCCCGGGTAAAGACACGATAACCGCCGAGCACTTGAAACATGCCGGAAATACAGTCACATCCCAACTACTCGATCTCATAAGAACTATCTGAATAAACGAGAAGATCCCAGAAGACTGGAAGGAAAGCATAATAATCTCCTTACATAAAAAAGGAGACAGAATGATATGCAAAAATTATAGAGGAATATCGCTCATAAACGTAGCTTACAAAGTTCTATCAAATATAATCCTGTCGAGAATAATCCCATTCACAGAGGAGGTAAGGAGACTATCAGTGCGGCTTTCGGACAAACCTAGCAACAACCGAGCAACTGTTCACAATAATTAGACACCTACTAGAAAAAAACTGGGAATTCAATAGGGAGATACAGCAACTGTTTATAGATTTCCCACAGGCCTATGATAGGATAGTGTGAAAAAATCTTATAAGACTAACAAGAGTTTGTATAGAAGGTTCCAGATGCAGAGTGAAAGTTGGGTGTGATATGTCAGTAAAGTAAACATCTAGGATCCTTGCTTCAACCTCATGTAGAAAAGACTTATTTCTAAATCATAGAGTTGACTTTAACAATAAGTTATGACATAATTCTCCACTCTGAAGATATTTTGGTCAACTTTGACGTTAGGTCCTTATGCATTAATTTAATCTCCATCTAGGGCTTGCCTAGCAGGCATGTACATTATGTGGAATGGTGACTTTCACGAACATTTTATAGGTATGAGAAAAAAACCCACTCGGCCAATATCTCAATCCAATCCTTCGACCTCGGATTGGTGATATTATACCTTATTCATGAAGATAGAGGTATCTGCATGCACTCTCCAACCATCATCATCAAATATCCTTTTTTCACGTACCTACATTGTTGAACATAGGAATTTTCTAAATTTTTCCAGTTGTCTCTGTTCTGAGCAGTTGCGATCTATTTTGATGAGATGCTTTTTAGATCGGCTGTCCAGCGAGTGGGTGGTCTTCTTTGGTTTCGTTTGTCGGCTCCTGGTCTCCACTCAATGAGTTTCTTCGTCCATCTCCAACTATCAACCTAGTCAAAATCGTGGAGCTGTAACAACATTGATATTACGTGCTCTTGAATCTGTAATCCACAAAATCTGTAGAAATAACTAAAGGACTTCAAGACAGCCATTCAATCTAACGGATACAGGGCATCCAAGATGAATTATGAGACATGAATCTTCGTCTCGTCGAGATACGGTTAAGTGATTGCCAGCCATTTATCTCTCGGGTGTCGGACAGGATCGGAAAATGTTTGAAAAAACACAATGTGAAATTCCTCAGATAAGCTTAGGATAATAGGTATATACTGTCATCTACTAGGATCCAACTCTCCATCATATCCCATGCATATGTCAAAATGTTTCCATAGGGTGATTAGTGAACCAGAAAAAATCGTATAACTGCAGACTGGGACAAACTGGCAAATCTTCAGTTGCAGATCATGTGCTGTGAGAAAATACGGTGTAAATACAGTAGTTATCTCAGCATCATTTCCAGGAACATTGCCATTGACAATGAATTTCTGAGAAAAGATCAAAACCAATTTTTTCTCGGAAATTTCGCTCTTTCAGTATCAGGCTCATGATCGTTCGCTTGGAAACAATAATGGTCCAAAACTATTTCTCTTTCTCATTAGAAACATTATCCTACCACCTTAAAGGGAACAATTTTGGGTTTACTTTATGAACAAATATGATCAAGTCGATTGCAAATTGGCTATACTAACATCAAAAAGAAACCCGTAAATTTCACAGTCTTCCTGTATAATAATTCAAGTTATAGTGTGTTTTTTTCTACGAGAAATTTAACCTAAGTTTATACTATAACAAATTAAGTATCATTAAAGTTGAACGATGAACAGCCCTGGAGAGCCCATACAGTTTGAGATTTAGTGTAAAGCAACTCTCTGTGCTATTTTTCATTATTATAGTGAAGGAATACAAAATTATTTTCAGGGACAAAATTTTACTGTCAAATGTGTCACGCTAGAAGATAACGGTGGAATTGGAGGAAAGTACACTTACAGTTGGACGAAAAACAAAGAACTTCTACCAGTTAAAACGAATCATGAGAAATATGAAACTTTGTATCCCGCAGGAACCATATTGCAAATATCGGGTATCGATGTGAGTGTGCAATCGAATAATTGGCTGAGAGATTTTCTGTTATCAAAATAAGTCATAACACTATTAACTTTGCAGAAAGATTCGCAATATTCCTGTTTAGTTCAAGACAGTACTAGTTCTTCCGAAAGAAGTATCCAGGTATATGTTTTGGATCGGAAAGGAATTCACACGTGTTCTCAGGAAACAAACTATGGACTTGTATGGCCAGAAACTGCTCCCGATACCGACTTTATCCAAGAGTGTCCGAAATACTTTTCTGGTATAGTTTCGAGAACATGTAGGCTAAGTGATGGTAAAACACCTACCTGGAGAGTTCCCAATTTCTCTCAATGTACTAGCAAAGTTTTACAAGAAGTTTATCATCAGGTAACATTAAAAAAACTTCAATTGAAATAAAAATTAATGAAAGTTTTTTCAGTTTCAACAAATTAAATTGGGATATGTGGCAACGAGCTTCGAAAAATTGTTCTCAGGCATATTAAATTATCTCTCATCAGTTGAGCTGCACCCTGGAGAAGGAGAGAGAGTTCTGCATTTAGTCCAAGAAATGCTCACGTTTATCGGACAGACAAAAACTGAAAGTCACGCAATACAAAATTTGAGTCGCACTATTTTTCCAGTTTTGGATATTATTTTATCATCTCCAAATGCTTTGATAAAGTCCAAGGTAAGCAAGGCCTTTTATTGTTTTTTTCATGGTATTTATTTTATGTTTATAAAATTATCTAATTATTCAAAACAGTAAATTAATTAGTAATTCGTAAAATAAACGGTTATTGATAATTAACACTTTTCAAAACAGATAGATAATAATTTGCAAATTTAATTTCAAAATATTAATTATTTATAATGGGAAATATGTATGGCACAATATTTTATCGCTCTTGAGCGATTTGGGTGATTTTTTAACTTTTTGTGGTCGCAAATATATTTTCCATTAAATTTTATTTGCTTTTTGCTGTTGTTGGGTTATTCGATGACCAAAAGATGTCAAACTTTCTGTTTACATTCATATTCATAGTAATCCAGGCAATAAATCAATATTGTATATAATATTTAGAAACTTTTATTATAACGACTAAACGTGCTTTTATCAATTGTCACAGATCACTTACATACAGATGCGAAAGAGCGGCGAATTCGTGGTTCAAGATTAATTTGATAGACATAGGCTGGGTGCACCAATGCCACATCAATGTATTTTGAACATATTTATTATATAAATGCGGAAGCTCAATAATATAATATTATTTCTTTAATTGGTTCACAAACAGCAAAAATAGTATATTGTTTTATTAGGAGTAAAAGCTTTACTTTTGTGTGCTGAAGCAGTAGGTTTGCAATACTGCTGAAGCACAAAAAAGTGCTTCTACTCCGTATGCAACACGCTATTTTTTCTCCAAACTAATGGGGTAAGCTCGGCGGCAAGTGGATGGTTGAGCGGCAGTAAAAGTACGAGCGGCACTAAAAGTACTTTTGCTGTCGCTGGGGTTGCCAAGCAGCATAGAAATTAAACTTCTACCACCTCGACAGGTGTTAACCCGCTGGATTTACCTAGCAGCATAGAAATTAAATTTCTGACATCTTGACAGGGGTTAACAAAGTGACGTATTTTTGACGTTTGGAGAAAAAATATTTTTTTCTACCCGCAAAAATATAGTAAACACACAGGCTGGAACATGCTCACGCACTCGGCCACGTTAATTGTCCTGACGCGGGCGATCTTTATCTATGCGTGGGGCCGCTTCGTCACAGAATATCGTCGACAGCAAATATACGTACTTACGCATCTGTATTAGGTGATCTGTGCAATTGTCTTTAATTACGTCTCATCTCATCAACATAACCTCAGCTCTTCTTCAATTTTCTCATCTCTACAAGAAATGTATTGCCTAATGGATACCAGGTCATCATTTCATCAATTTAATGCTAAGATTTAAATCCCTCTGTAGTAAAAATAATGCCCAAATCTAAACAACAAATCCGAAAAATAAGGCAATACATTGTTGTATCCTTCGACATCAAAGTATGTAGTAAAATCGTATATTCTTGAGGTTGAGTAGTTTTTACACAATGCACAAGAAATACGCTGCAAATAATAAAATTGTATTTATAGCCGATCCTTTAGCAGTAAAGCCAATATATCGTCGTATCAATGGATACACTATTTAGAGCCATTCCATAACTTATCTCATAAAGTGCACGACTGGAAGTGGATTATTTTGGTATATTAATGGTTTTTTACCTTTTTTCGATCGAGGCTATTGGAAACTCGTAAAGATTAGCTACATTATTTATCACCCAGCCATTATATGACAATGCGCGAATACTAGAAAACTTATACGAATAATAGGCCAAGCAATGAAGGAAGTTTACCTTAACATAATTAGAAGTTAAAATTTTTTTGAGGGGATCGGTCCATTTTAATATGCTTAATAACATATTAAGTTTGCGACCTTGTACTTCCCTAGGGTTTTTAGTTAGGGGTGGTTTTTAGGGGTAATTTGCGGTTTATTGAGAACGCTGCTTAAAGGGATGGTCCAATAACAAAGAGTTTGATTGTTGTAGCTGAAGTTTTTTGCTATATAAAACTTCGCGACAGCACCCCTTTATCTTCTATAGTTTTTTTTTTGCAGCGTCTTGAATAGTAGCATGTTTTTGTTCAAGGTCAGTGAATCAACGTTTGGCCTGTTTACGCACATTATTGCTAATGAAATGCACTCTCCATTGCTTTTTTGTTCGAATTTTTTGCTTGAAAATTAAGCGAGCACGGACTTGTTTAATGTATGAGGAAGTTGTAAATTGCATCGAAAACTACCCTTTCTTGCATTCACTGTAATTTTTAAACGGGGCCAAATATTTGGTGACAGTTTTCGACAATCGGCAGCCCATTTATTCCTCTCATAATGCCCCAGCGGATTTTTTTTTTTCGTTAATTACTCAATGACTTATTGGCCAGAATACGTTAGACCATTAGACAAGTCCGTGCTCGCTTAATTTTCGAGCAAAAAATTCGAACAAAAAAGCAATGGAGAGTGCATTTCATTAGCAATAATGTGGTGTTTAAAAAATTGAAATCGGATTATGCATTTGGCCGCTACTGCATGAAATGCGCGTAAACAGGCCAAACGTTGATTCACTGACCTTGAACAAAAACATGCTACTATTCAAGATGCTGCAGAAAAAAAAACTATAGAAGATAAAGGGGTGCTGTCGCGGAGTTTTATGTAGCAAAAAACTTCAGCTACAACAATCATTTGAAACTTTTTGTTATTGGACTATCCCTTTAAGCAGCGTTCTCGATAAACCGCAAATTACCCCTAAAAACCACCCCTAACTAAAAACCCTATGAAAGTACAAGGTCGCAAACTTAATATGTTATTTAGCTTCTAATTATGTTGAGGTAAACCCTCTTTTCAGATCCCCGTTTCTTGGACTATGAACTTATTTAGGATAATTCAGGTCCCAATTATAGAATATAATGTTTATTTCCAAAATGTACAACATAGTATACAAAAAAAAGCTTGCAAAAGCTATATGGAAAAAAATTTAAATCTAATTTTTATCATACAATAAAAATTATTAAATTGAGTTTCGCTTTACATAAAGTAAGCAACAAGTTCACAGTAGGTACAAAGAAATGTAAAATACAAGTCAAATTGACAACACACAAACACTTTAAAAAAAAAATTAACAATAAGGAAATATACAGTAGGTAGCCAGTAATAAATATAAACATTTTGGCAGTAAGTAAAATAATCATTTCTAAACTAAAATGGTTAGGGGTTCGTTAATGCAAAATTTAGAATGTATGGTTAAAAAATTCATCTATACTATAAAAAGTGTGAGTATGTAGCAGATCTTTAAGCTTATTTTTGTAAATATTTTCATTAGGACAGTTAAGCAACTTACGCGGTAAGTTGTTTGAAATTTTTATGCCCATGTAACTGGGACATCTTCTATTTACTTCTAAAGTAAAGTTTGGCGGCAGAAAAGCATCATTACCTCTTGTGGAGTAGGTGTGAATGTCTGAGTGCATAGCAAGTTTTCCCTTTCATTAAACATTAAAATTGCAGTCCTGTATATCTGTAGCAGAGAGGTAAACAATAATAAAAAAGTTCAGTAAAGAAGAAAACAAGTTGTAATGCTAACTCACTTTAAAATTTGACTTATTTTTATACACGGTACCAAGCTGTTATTATGGTATGCTACTTAACTTAATTAGCAGTTTTGATAACCAATACCATTATTTCAGCAATACGTACCTGTATGTTGATTCTGGATTTACGACTTTTTACCTCAATTTGAAAAAACAGGTAATCATTAAAATAGAAGTCTTATCTCGAGTCTTATATTGCAAGACCAGTTTTATTGCTTATCGCTTACATGATTAATGAGCACAAAATACTTAAAAAAATGTAATTTGCTTGAAGAAGATGTCCTGGACCAGTGGTTCCCAAACTGGGGGGCGCACCCCCCTGGGGGGGCGTGAAGCAACATCGAGGGGGGCGGAAGTCTTCTAAAAAATTGATACAAATTTTAAGCTTTAAAATAAAAAATCAGTTGAAATTTAAAAAAAGATGTCTACAATCCGGCAACAGCGCATACCTAAGCCAAAGCAGCTTTGCCATGCCATCTGCTACAGCGCACGCTCGCTGCCCACTGTCATGCCCATTCCTCCTCTTCCAAAATCCAGTTCAGACGAGTTACAGTAAGTAAAAAAATGTTTTTGTTTGATGGGGTAGGGAAGGGGGGCGTGATCACTTCTTGATATCAGAAAGGGGGCGCAAAAGAAAAAAGTTTGGGAACCACTATCCTAGACAAAAAAGATTATGATTTGTACAAGGCAAAATTTATTCGCAGTCTTCTTCATCGGAACTATCTTGACCTTTTCTTTTACAACAATATTTTTCAACCTAATCAATATATTATGTCTTTTATCACCTTTCCTCATTTCAAAACACTAAAAATACTTAAAAAAATCAGCAGCACGCCGCCGTTCCGTGGAGTTACTACTGTTTACCACTAAGAATTTTGATGGTAGGTAAACAGTAACAGAATAGTATGTAAAGGACATACTATTCTTTACCCCACTAATACATGGAGTTACTGTCTCTATAAAAACTAAAACAAATTGAAAGCGGGCACTTTGAAAATGATATTAACTCAATATTGATTAAAAGTGGAGTTACGACTATTTACCTCTCTGCTACAGATATGTAAAGGTTTGTCAAAGTGAAAATTTTGTTATCTTTAAAATAGGGTCTACAAGATTGCAACCTTCCAAGAGAAAATATGGCACGAATGGCTCGTTTTTGGAGAAGAAAGGTGTCTTTTGCCCCAACAGAAATGCCCCAGAATTCCACTCCATATTATAAAAGGCTGTAAAAATATGCATAGTAGACAGTCATTGCTACTTCCCTGCCAATATTCTGTTTTGCAGTTCTAATAGCGTAGATTGCACTACTCAAAGATTTGTTCAGTGAGGAGGTATGGTTTTTCCAGTTCAGTGCGTTATCCATGTATACTCCAAGAAATTTTAGATGATGTTGAGAAGTAACACTTATACCATTTTCAGTGGCAATGTTAAGTTCTCCAATCTTTTTGTTGGATTGAAAAAGCATGTTGAATGTTTGAATATCGTTCAGGAGCTTTTTACGTAAAGTAATGCTGGTATCGTCAGCGAAAAGTGTAAATAAAGCGGATGGAAAGTTGATGTCAAGGTCATTAACATATTGTCACGCTTAGGTTGGTTGTGGTCAGCGGTGCCACCACTTTTACTTCGCTTGGCTGCGTCCACTAAGGGTTTATCTGAAAAGAGAGGATATGGGGGGAAGGAATACCACCACGAACATTTAATTTGTTTTATTACTAAACCTTAATTACACCTTATAGTTCAAGGAGATTTACCAAAATCCTAACACCGCAGATGTTCGTCCCTGGTGGACCATGTTTTCGATTGTCAACGCGAAATGCAAGAATGTTTAATGTTTTAATGTAACCCAAGATGCACTAAAAGAACGGGCCCCCTAAGGGCATAGTTCTCGTAGGTCTAAACTTGGGGACGCTGTGACACGGCTGCTATAGACGAGAACTTCATCCATAAAGTTTTACAGTCTCGACTATACCTAGTCGTACCCAGCTTAGAAGGCAGGTCTTTAGGCTCGTACCTTATCAGGCATAAAGCAGTCCAGACCAACCTTGCTTTGCATTGCCGCAGTGCGTGAATTTATATTGAAATTATTGCTGGCATAAGCAAAATCGGTCTGTTTTTAATAGTCCGGGGTGACCTCCTTTGGAAATTTACTTAATTTATGTAATGCGTGGGCTTGTGTACGTTTATGAGTTGACAATATAATAAAAATAATAGTGGTCCCAATATAGATCCCTGGGGTACGCCACTCGTAAGTGGCCTCAACGTTGAATGTATTTGTTCCAAATTATTATTGACATTTTGTTCGACTTCAACAAAAATTTGCCAGCCGTGGATGTAGGAAAAAAACCAGTTATTGGTAATGCCATAGAATTCCAGTTTTTCAAGGAGTATATTATGGTCGACACAATCGAACGCCTTTGACAGGTCGCAAAAGATAGTCAAAGGATGTTCTCTTTGGTCTAGAATGAGATTTACGTTTTTCACCAAATTATGTACCTATAGCTTGGGTGGTGTTTTTTGGAATCCAAATTGATTTTTACTTAGAATGGAATTTTGTGCAATATAATCTGTCATCTGATTTTTTACTGCTGTTTCTAATATTTTGGAAATCGTTGGTAATAATGAGACAGGTCTTCCAACTGCACGTAGTTAAGTGCCTATTAAAAATAAGTACTTCTAGGTAATCACAACTTAAACTTTGCCTTAATCTGTTTCGTGTAAGCAGACACTTTGTATTTTACAGTAATTTTATAAAACTTTTTAGGAAATCAACCTGCTCCAGAAGATTTTCTTCGAGCAACTAAAACTATCCGGATTTTATTTATCGAAACAGCCAGGATTTACGGCTTTCAACTTATCCCTGAATTCGTCGGATTTAACAGTTTTAAAAGCGACGCAAGGCCAAACGATATTCCACATTCCTGCAGCTGGGAAAAAATTAGGGTATGTAATTTTGAATTATGCATAATGCTTTTCAGGCAACGACTTCAAAAAAAAAAAAAACAGTTTTTAACTTGATGTTCGACGGTTACTTAATACTTATTACCAGCACTTGCGACTATAGGAGTTTGACTTCAAATACCTACATTTATATAGTATAAATGTTACCAGAGAAGAAGTTTTCTCTTATTGTTTTTGATATGAAATGAATTTTCTTCAAATATCCAGGCTAGATTTCAATTAAAGTTGCATGGATTATGGATTACAGAAAACCTTAAATAGATGGGTCTAATGTTACTCAACACCTCATATGTTTATTGTTCTATGGTTAACAGACACAAAGAGATAATGTCTTCTTTGAAAATGCAATAACCCCTTAAGACGTAAATAAACCAGATAAAAGAATAAATTCAATTGTTAGGATAGAATTTATTATTACACATAGAGGTGAATTAAAATTTAATGAAGGAAGGTTCTATAAAAAAGTCTTAGGAAAGTAATTGAAGGTAATTGGGGAAACTTTGCCTGAAACATCAACTAATTGCATGTAAAATAGAAAGTTGAAAAAACCTGTGCGGTTGAAAGAATTGTTGCGTTTATGAAAACGATTTTAAAATATTTCAGTAGTCTCTAAAAGCACTTAGGTATAATATGTAAATAGGTACTTTTTCATTGAGTTTCAATGTAAAATATATTATCTAAAAATGTGGAATTATTTAATAATTAGAAAATTGGTAGAGATTTTTCGCACAAATTAAAATTTCTACAGCTAGTGGTATCCTTCAAATGCCGTTAACGTTCAATTTCTCCTATGAAAAGTATGGTGGCTCATCCCTCTGTTGCTAGTTTGACATATTTTATGTGTTCATTATTATAGGATACAAATCAAATTTCCAATAAGGATGAGTGAATGCCAAGAAAGAGTGAACAGTATAAATAAATTTTTTGAAAAGGTCATAAAAAATAACGAGTCTGTTAAAAAGCCGCTCTACTGCGAAATATTTAAGCTCCCACAAAACCTTGGACCATTCTTTTTTGTTAAAATGCAATCCATTAGGAAGTATTGCTGAAGTGAAATAACATCAATCTTTTCAGCAAGAAGTGAATTCGGATTTGCAGTCAGCAGAGTGTATTATTTCAGATAAAGTAGCTTTGAAAATTAAATTTGAGCTTTCAGCTATCCAGCCTAATAATACAATTTTGTTTTATTATTTTAGAGTGCAGACGTGGATTACTTCAAAATTAACATACCAGAGATCGGAACCAATAAATTCAGATATGTTTATTGGAATAATTTATCGAAATCTATCTTCCTTCTTTCCTTCGAAGTTATTTTTGCGAATACGGTAAGTTTGATTTTCATATAACTTTTAATGGGATGGGATCCATTCATTATTTTTGCAATAGATCTTTCCCTTGATCGGAAAAAGCTTATTTGGCAGTATTTGAGTTATATTTTCAGAGGTATTTTTATTTTTCCTACCGCGCCTTTCAAGCCCGTTACCTATTCAATATTGGTTTATAGTATTACTCAACAATAATCATGGAATTTTTAAGTTATTTATCTTCAGTTATGGTGGACGCATAAGGGTGCTGATTTGTGGCAGCCGCAAAAGTTTCATGTAGTTTGTTTTTCAAGATTCTGCCAAAAAAAAGTTAAATTTAGGTACCATCAAAGGAAACAAAAATAGAAGTAAGTGAGCTTTTTCAAAATGTAAATTTCAATCTCACTCTGTCTTCATAACCAACCTCGACCAGGAAAACTATTCCTCGTCACGTTGCTCTGCGCCTAGAAACAAGAAAGAAACAAAATAGTTTCTTTAGAGTGAAAAATAACAGTTAGTTGTCACCGGATAATTTTTGGCTGCAGTTTTTTAGTTTTTCTCAGGCCCCATTAGAGATCGAATGGCCATTTCCACAAAGCAAAAGTTAAGTGTACTCAAACGTTAAGTGATCCTTAGATTAGATTTTGCTTTCCTCCATGGCTATATTGTTTTATTAAGGATCACTTAACTAAACCGTCAAAATTCTCAGCTTAATGGCCACTTATCGTTAAGTGGAGATGCGCGCATGCGCTGAGAGCGTTCAGATTTTTCCTTGAAGTGACAAACAAAATCCTAACCTCTTATCTCAGTAATTTCCTAATTTCATGCTGCGTTTCTTCTCGTATTCTTATGTGTTTGTTCGGGTTTAAAAGTAAATATGGATTTGATTTTAATAATATTCTTGATGATCTCGAAATATTAGACCTGGTAGAAAATGAGTCCCCTGATATTTCTCTATGCCATTCCCGATCTCTTTTAGTCCAGTTACCGCCCGGTACTTTTACTAAAAGTATGCAAATTGACATGGTATACGAACTATTAAATTTAAGTTTTTGAACGAACTACTCAAAGAGTGTAGGTTAGTCGAAGAGACATTAGCTGATCATTATGAAAGTAAAGTGCATAATGACAAATCTGAAAAACATCTATAGTGTCGATTCTGTAAGTATACAGGTCACACTGAAGAGCAATATCGGAAAAAACAGGCCGCTTCAGCATTAGAAAATCAATCTAGACCAACAACTGGCACCAATTTGAGTAGGTACTGTATCTCAAAATCCAGTTTCTTTCAGAATTTTTAAACAAATAACATATTATGGCTGTAATAGGCCAGGTTACATAGAATCCAACTGCCCTTCTTGTTCTAAGTCAGTCGCCTCACTAGACTTTTGTACGATGGATGATTATAAACTAAACCTTTCTCCACAACCTTGTCCTGTACCGCTAATTTCTGTATTAGGTCTTCAGGGACATGGCCTTATAGACAATGCTGCTAAACAAAGTGTAGCCAGCTCCTCTTTATGCAAAGCAATATTAGAAAAAAATGCGAATTTTATTAACAGTAGAACTAGGATTAATTTGGCCGATGGAATTACAGAAGAATAAAATTTTAAGATTTTCAAGGTCAATGTACAGCTTGGGTACAGGAGTATTCCTACGACTTTCTTGGCCTCACCTAACGTTGACAGAACCTTGTTAGGCATGGATTTTCTCCAGAACGCTACCTTAGCTATTGATATAGGTCAGCAAAACTAGTATTTTGCTGATAATTCTTCCGAAAATAATTTTTTGATGTTTGAAGCTGAACACGATGTTCCAATTAAAGTTGAACTACAATCCATAACATTATTGTGACAAGATGAAGGCACGATGTTAGGGCCCAATGAAGACAAACTTATGTCGGGATTTAATTGATGATTACTAGGGGGAAAGCCAACTCCCTATGCTGAACATACCATTGATACTGGTACGCATGCACCAACATCGGGTCCACCCTATCGTATGACCCCTGCTAATAAGGAAATACTTAAACAAGAGTTGGACAAACTGCTTGTTAATGGTGTCATAGAAGAGTGCGAGTCAGCCTGGTCTGCCCCAGTTGTCTAGTAACAAAAAAAGATGGAAGTACGCGACTATGGGTGGATTACCGTGCTTTGAAACAAATAAGCACCCCTGTGTTTTACCCATTACCATCACATGTCAATCCTGGATCTTCGCTCAGGGTACCATCAAGTGAAAGTGCGTGAAATAGATCGCGATAAAACATCGTTTGTTACTCCATTCAGGACTTTCCGATATTTGGTTATGCCATTCGGGTTGCGCAACGCGCCTGCTACGTTCCAGAGACTGATCGATCGATTCTTTAGTGGACTTCCTGACATTCTTATATTGGCATACCTGGACGATATTTTTGTGCTGTCAAAGACATTTGAAAAACATATACTCGACCTCAAGTGTATTTTCGACCGGTTCAGACTATTTAAGTTACACGCAAATCGCGAGAAATGCACCTTTGCCAGCCAGCAATTTAGATACCTATTCAGGACATATAATTACCAGTAGCGGTATTCAAGTTGATCCAGATAAGACTGCGGCCATAGACAGGATGTTGCCTCCACAAAATGTCAAGCAGGTTCAGTCCTTCTTACAAAGTTGGTCTTGGTACAGATGATTTATTATCAAGTTTGCTGATATTTCCAGGCCTTTGCAATCTTCTGAAGAAAACTTCGACATGGAAATGGGAATCTAAGGAAAAACAAGCCTATGAGACACTGAAAAGTGCTTTAAGAAGCGCACCAGTCCTTCAGCAAAATGATAGCTCTAAACCCTATAAACTACGCACTGATGCTTCCGGATACGCTCGGGGTGCTGTTTTGTTGCAGGGGGAGGGTGCTGAAGAACATTCAATAGAGTACGCAAGTAGATTATTAACATCGGCTAAACGGAATTACTCAACAACAGAGCGTGAAGCCTTAGCTGTTGTGTGGAGCCTGAGCGACTTTCGAGGATACTTAGACCATTCTTCAGTTATCGTTGCGACAGACCATCAACCCCTTGGATGGCTTCTCAGCTCAAAAATACCTGCAGGACGCCTAGCGCGTTGGGTTCTTTCAATCCAACAACTTAAAATTTGAATATCTTTAAAATTTGAATATCTACCTGGAAAGCAAAATGCTCTGGCAGACATGCTTTCACGACCACCATGTGTGCATGCTAGAGATGCCGCATGTGCAATATGCTGCTTTTCCGTTGATATACCAAAGCGGACGCCAATGGAAGTAAGAACTGAACAATGCAGAGATCCAAAACTAAAGAAAATTCTTGATAGCTTTGAACAAGTAAATAGTGATGACTTCGCACGGTGAACGTCGAGAGGGTACATTGTAAGCAGTGGCGTTCTGTGTAAATATGCTGATGGCGAAAGTGAAGAAGCACAGCTCGTAGTACCGACACATGAACAACAACGAATGCTTCAAGAGCATAATGATGCTCCCACAGCGCAGAACTGCAAAATTATAATTGTATTATTTTACTGGCATGAGACAGTTTATTCGATATTATGTCAAAAACTGTACAGGATACCAGCGATACAAAGCATCCAACCAAAAACCAGCTGGTTTGGTCCAAACACCGACTTATAACCAAAGATTTCAGGCAATTGATTTATTTGGCCCTTTGCCAGAGGATGTCAAAGGCCATCAATGATGGGTCTTTATTATTGAAGATACTGCTACAAAATGGGTAGAATTATTTCCACTGTTTAAAGCACCACGACTAGCTCAGCTTGTTGGGGAGAATCACACATCACTGGCTATACTGCCTCTTATCTCAACTTCACACGATAATTGAGAAATCCTGATGAAATATCTAACGATCTTCGAACAATAACCAATACTGATAATTTCATACCGGAGATCGCTCCATATTTGCAACAGATCTATACCACTCTTATTGATGCAAGATCCAATCACGAAAAAGCCCAAGCCGAAGCATACTACCTCCAAATTTGACCCCAAGAGAGATGGACCGTACAATATCACTCGCAAAGTCTCTCTTATCACATATGAAATAGCCAACGTTGATACCCCGAGTCAACCATTGGGTGTTTATCATTGTTGTAACTTGATTAATTAATATGGAGAAGAAAATATGGGTCCATTGGTTCCAATCCGCAAGAGAGGTCACCCAAGGAAAAAACTCAGCGCCTAGAAATAAGAAACAAAATAGTTTCTATAGAGTGAAAAATAACAGTTAGATCTCACCGGATCATTTTTGGAGGCAGTGTTTTAGTTTTTGTGCTAATTTTCAATGTAAAACGAATTCCAAAGTTGATAAACTTTAATAACGAGAGTGTTTGTGTAATTTGAAACCTCTCATGTTTATTACTCCTAATTTTCTTAATAAAAAAAATACGTACCTATTGTCTATTCACAATCTGTAGTCTAAAGGTACAGGTAAAATTTATCACCTTTCAATGCTATTTGATAGGGAAAGGTGATACATTTACCTGTACCTTTGGACTACAGATTGTGAATAGGATATACTTTAAAAAATTATAATTTTTGATTTATTGGCCAATCATTAAGGTAATTTTCACGTACAAAAGTTTGAGAAGTTTTGAAACATGGGAAGACTATACTTTAGTTCTACCAAATCGGAAATTTCATAACATGGGGCTTTGTTGTATTAGGGAGAAATTAATGAACATTTTTGTGCACGTACGTTTCTCCACATCCACAGGCTCGTTTTGTATTCGAAATGGGTTCAGATACCGTAAAACGGGGATACTTTGTGACAGATTTGGGGGTTTTTTGAAATTCTCAAACATTTCTTTGCCACATAAAATTCTAAAAAAATACACTATGTAAATCCGTTCTTCCGCTTCAAAATGGCAGTTCTAGAAAATTGAAAAAAATCAGCTTTTTTTTTTTATTTGAAAATGTCACAATTTTACCCCGTGATGCGGGGTAACTTTGTGACAGTGTGTTTTTACAACGAAAACCTAATGTAGCCCCGTCATTTTTAGTCTAAAACGATAGGAAATGTCAAGAAATATATACTTGATATTAAAAACACGGGTATATACTGATTTAGACATTTTAAACTTTTATTGTATATCATACGATATAGTAATTATCACCCTCATATTCATCCAGAAATTGGGATGTAAACTCTACCCATAGGAAGTCGTCCACATTAGGAGACATGTCGATCCTTTTAGCGTTGTTTTAGGTTGAGCATAAGTTTCTCCCATACTAATTACATGTCACAAAGTTACCCCGGTAGGTTACTCTTTTTTGTTTATTGCTAAAAAAAATGTGTCAAATTAATAAATCGTAAGCGTATTCACGTAGATATCCCGACAAGTACCCAAGCAATCAGAAATTCTGATGAATTTTTCTGGGGAGTGTTCAAATTCTGATGTACAGTAGAAAGTTTGGGCGTTTCGAAAAAGTTGCAAAAACGAGATGCTCCCTTTGAATCTAGCTGCAAGTTACCAAGGGAGCGTACCAGCTTGCCGAACGGATTTTGTAGCGAGTGAGGTATGTCCTTCCACCAGCCGGTAGAAAAATTTGGCTTCGCGCGCCGAATTTAAAATGTTTGGTTAATTTGAATTGAATTTCACAATGTCACAAAGTTTCCCCCTTGTCGCAAAGTATCCCCGTTTTACGGTACTCAATTTGACAAAAAAAAAATTTTTTTTTGTTCTGTGCCAATGCTCATTAAAATGTGCTACGAAATGAAGAGAATTGAGATAATAATACATAGGTAACCCAACTTTTTTATTGACTTTTTTTTTTCAATTTCTAGATCCTTTATCCAATAAAGATAAATACTAAGAATTATTGACTCTTTTCGAAATATTTAGATCTTTTCCTATAGAACCTTGTGATAGAATGGCCACGATGGCAAATGCTCTCACAAATTGGATCGGAAATTATTGCATTTTTCAATGCTCAGGCTTTCTAGGTTAAAATGATAAGACAATTGTTTTTGCAGAAGTTTAGTTAATGGCTTTGATGTTTTCCTAGAAATTATTCAATATCTTTCGAGTTAATAGTTGAAGGAAAGTTTTGAATTCAGCGTATTTTAGCAGGATTTGGCTTTACAGCTTCCTGAGTGATGAAATGTCCAAGGAAAGCTACTTCTTTCAAAAAAAAAAAAAAAAACTCACACTTGTTTGGCTGGATCTCCAATTAGTCTTTACGAAAGCGCTTGGAAACTTCTGTCACCTTCGAAATATACTCGGGGAAAACCGATATCGTTCACATAAATCAAGCATCTTTTATTTTGAATGCTAAGAAGAATATTGTCCATCACTTTCTGGAATGTTGAATGTGGAGGGCGCATTCGTTATTCCAAATGGCATTCGAATGAATTTGCAGAGGCCATTTTCAACGAATCTAGGGTGAGGAAGAATTTTTTTAGGGGAATAGGATACTTCTCATCCACAGTAAGTTCGTTAGCTTTGCGGACCTCGATAACGGCGCTATTAAGGCCCTCCAGAAGCATCCAGTTCTTTAGGAACAGCCCAGACTGGGGATGTACTAAAAAGATACGGAATGAGGAATTATTTCCTGATTAAGAATTTTGTTGACTTGGGATTTTACTTGTTCTTCGTGGATTTGGGAGTATCTTTATTATTCGCTTTAAACATTAGTTTTTAATTTCTCTGGTATATATTCCTCCCAAACCGATTGTTTTTTGCTTTGTAGGACTTCGAAGAGAGGAAGCCACACGCTATTAAAGGTCTATATATTTCTTAACACGTGAACTCCTTTAAACCTGTTTCTCTAAGTTGTGTGCTTTCGAGTTTCATCTATATTGCACTCAAAATAGCATAACAAGCTCGAAACCGGTCTGCAATTGGCGCTAGTGTCCAACAATGTTTGAGAATTTGAGTTTTTTTCCATATCATCGATATTCATAATTATTGAAGTCAAAAGTTAACCCTGTTCATTGACTCGTGGCGATTCAACTTTTCATTTCTCCTGAGAGTGAGAGTTTTGATTAGAATATTGAGTAAAATCGGAGAGACCGGAAACTTCTATTTTGCTTTGATTCGATGTATGGCCAATTCGGCCAAAAGCCAAGCATTTCTTGAATGATTGTAGTGTTCTAATGTGGCCGGCACTTTTTGCTGTCTTCTCAAAAAAACAGTTCCCCATTTTAGTTCTGCATTTAAAAGAGAGTATGGACTTCCAGCCCTCATTATCTATCCGAGATGAGGTTTTAGGCCAATGAGAAGATTAATGAGAGCCATAGATTCTACAAGGGAGAACTGAGCTTCTATCTGATCTTGAGCTCTGAGTTGTGATGATTTTTTAATGCAAGCGTAAATTTTTGCTTGAAATCTGTTGTATGTGTGGGTGGACTCTCCAGGTAGTTGTCCAAGTCCTTGAAGGTCATTAATGAGTACTGAGCTCCCTAGCATCCTCAAAGTGAAAACCTAAATTTGATACCCTATACCATACAAATTTATTCTAGGTGAACTACTTGAGAATAAATAAACTAGAGGATGCCTTTTGCAGTATTCTTCAGAATTGAAAAAATTCGACCTACTGTGACCAGAGATTTGCCTTTTGCAGTATTCTTCTGAATTAAAAAAAATCGACCTACTGTGACCAGAGATTTCACATTGTATTTTACAACTTTTCAAACAAAACATTTCCTCTCTAGCCCACAGAACCGAAGTAAAAATTGCATGGGCGTTTAAACCCATATTTATCAAACCTACCTTTTTGTTTCCAAACAATACCTACATTTTATCCGCTAACAAAGTATATCAAGTTATTTTAAAAGCTTGTTTATTAAAAGAAAAGGAAATATATATAAACTTTGACATTGTGCTGTATTGCCGAAACGGGCTTAAGAGCAAATTAAATTTTCAGGCACGTCGGACTCGTGGAGGCTTACGTCGTTTCGTTACTGGAAATTCTTGCTAGAAATTCTCGTGAACTTTCCTGGGATGCAAGTAGCGCTAAAAGCAAAGTGTTTTTTCGGGTCATTACGATGTAATGGATTGAAATAAGGGCAAAAGCCCAGGGGTTTTTTTATTATACATTCTGAGACGGCCCACAAATTTATAAAAGTTATTTTTTGTAGAATTTTTTTTTTTTTGGGTTAAATATCAAAAGTTTAATAAAAATGCTGTAGTTGAAATTGTGCCGTTGTGATTTGAATTAAGTCATACATTCTTCTTCTTCAAGTACCATGTTGTCTCCGTTCCTATTGCGATATTCAGCTGTACCAAATCAATATAAATTTTGAAATTTTTTTTTATACAAATTCATCAGCGTGATCATTCATTTCTGGAAATTCTCCAAAATTCTTAAAATGTGATTTTGTATAATTGGCCTATCATAGTCTTTATCTGAAAAAGCCAACACTTTCTTCCATCAATTTTTTTATCACCCAGCATCTCGCACCTTATATCTCTACATATCTGATAGCTAAGATACTCTGCTTTTGTCCGGAATTGAAAATACATAAAATACGGTATTGAAATTTCAGAGATGGCACCGAAATCCAATATCAAATATTCTCACAAATTATGACATTTGCCTCGGTTGCCCGAAACCAATCTGAAAACAATGAGGCCACCGTAACAGTGGACTTTCAGCACCGCTTCAGCACCGACGCCCTCAACGTCAGCCAGAACGAGCGGTGGGAAGTTAGATGCGGCTACTCGGACTTTGGATGGATCGCATATTCATGGGATATTTATGCATGCAATCCGGAATACATCGACGATAGGTCAACTACGTGTGTATGCCCCAAGTATGGATCGTACGTGCTGATGCTAGTTCGGACAAATCCAGAGGTAGGTCTCGATAAATATGTAAAATACTGTTTGAAATTCAAATTTCAAAATAGATAGTGATAAAAAATTCAAATGCAATACAACATACCCAATGAGTTGAAGTGCAATAAAAATTAAACAATAATATTAATAAATTTATTTGTTAACGATAGTGACAATCATATCATAAGAAATTTTCTGACAAGTTCGCACTTGCGGTCAAAATTCAAACTTTCTAGTTTATGTTACTAAGTGTATGGGTGGCTTTCCACTTTGACCTGACATAACCCAACAGGCGGGCATATAGTCAGTTTTTGTCGTTTTCGACATCGCCTGGCCAATATTGTTTTCGACCGATGATCGTTGCCATTGTTGCTATTATAAATATACATACGTATTGTTTATTCAAAATCCGAAGTTCGAAGGTAGAGGTAAGATTTATAAACTTTCCGTAGTATTTAATAGGGAAAGGTGATAAATCTAACGTTACCTTTGGACCTGGACGGATTGTGAATGAACTTGATGTATTTTAATTTTCGTAATGATTTAAACTAAATCAAAGTTAAGCCTTAAATTCTTTCCTCACAAATCAAATTTTCCTCTAATCATCAAATTTGAAAATATTTGGCATTGTTTCTGTAAATCTGCATACGCACAGAAAATTGGAAAAATCATAGCAATGCCATATTGAAATATTTCCCGACCCCCTAACAAGCGGGCAAATTTAAATTAATGTTTTGTCGTAACTAATTTATGGTTAACTTGAACGACCTGCTCAGACAACTTAAATTAACAAACGTCAATCTGAGATTGGTTCAACTTAAGAAATCCTTAAATTAAGTTTATAAATAGATGGTGAATGTGAATAGCTCCCTAAGAACAATGCAGTTCAACTTAACGCTTGTTAAGTTAGGTTGTCTAAGGGCCGATACTTTTGCTATCGATTAACGAATTTGATACGTCGTCAAAACTTTGCATGGGCCAAGTTCTATAAGTATGATGTGGTTAGAGCACATTCTAACCCCTGATTATTTTTAACGGCTGTCAAATGAGAGCAAAAGTACCGGCACTAAGTCAGGTCGTTCAAGTTATTGTGAACGGGCTTTTAGTATTGTTCAATTTAGCTAGTCGAACTAAGAAAGTAATTCAAGAAATATATTCTCCTGACACGGCTCCTGATGTAGGTATTTTTTTATTTTCGCAGTTTTATCGAACCTGGCATTATTACTTAAAAACTATTAAATCCAACAAGTTATGGGTCGAAAGGGACCAACGTTTGTTCCAATTTTGTTTAGACCACAGCTTCTCTAATTGACAACACCTTGTTTACACAACACTCACGACATCTGATGATGATGATGATGATGAAAAGTACTTTATTGTCCAAGAAATATTACATGTAATAGGTCTTATTGACAAAGCATACTTAAAAACTAAATTAAAGTAAAATATAAATTAAAAAAAAAAAACAACAATGGCGTACCTGGTTACAAACAAACAGTCAATAAACACTTAATCAAATAAAGGGAAAAAAAACTGACAATAAGACAAGCATTTTAAGTACGGTCGATAAAAAGAACAATAAAAAATAATAAAAATAATAATAATCAACAATTTAAAAAATGGCCAGTACAAAATACAACACAAATAAAAACCACATTGTATACCTGGGTCTCACTAGGCGGACAATATCGCAATCAAATCGATTACATTTTAGTTGGAACACGATGGAGGACATCTATTAGTCCTTATAAAACTCTACCAAGTTCCAATTGTGGCTCAGACCGTCCTTTTATCGAAGGCGTTGTCGGCGCGTTATCTAACCGAACCAAAAGGCCCCTATGAATGGTCAGGGGGAAGCTGCGGTACCAGAAGCATTGCTTCCCAGCCGTCCGTTCGTCAGTACGGTTTCCTTTGCTGTTTTAAGTCAGCTTTTCCCATCATAATTTGCTGGATCATCTTCTCGATCGCCTTCCAGTCGTTTTGGGAGCAGAGCAATAGTTCTGTGATGTTCTCTGTGGTTATCTCTTCTTCAATAGTCCGTTCGGCTGCGCTTCTCTCGGCACTCCACTGGTGGCACTGGAAGATAGTATGCACATTTGTGTCCTTGTGTCCTCCTGTTCGTACGACCAGCATCTGGGACACTTTTTTTTAAAATTTTGTGCAGGAATGAGCAAAGCATCCCGTGCTTTGTTTCGTATGATTCATATAATAGTTTATCTCACCCCACGTCCTATCACACTATTTACTTATATCCTTAATGAAGATTTTGGTGACTCCGTTATAGTCATTCCACCTGTTTTGCCAGGATTCCAGCGTCCTTCTTCCATCCTCCTGCTTTCTAATGTCCCTTCGTTAGTATCGTAATGAGAGTTCGTCGACTTTGAGATCTATTGATGAGGGCGATGCGATCACCAATATCGCAGTTGTTGGGACTGTTTTATATGCCGATGTGATTCTTATGGCCAGCTGCCGGTTTAGTCTTTCCATCATATTCCTGTAGTGTTTCAACTTTAGTGCCTTCGTCTATATTAGCGCACCAGAGGTAAGGACTGAGTGTGCCGCCGTTGCCAGCATGCACCTACTAGCCCCAAGGCCGCCGATATTGATTGTTATCCACATTATTGCCATTACCATCTTTGAGGCTTTCTTGCAGGTTTCCTTGATATCCTCATCGATTTGTATACCCAGATACTTTAGTGAGGCCGTGCTGTGTACTTCGATTCCTATGCTGATGCCAATTTCTCGTAATTTCCGTCTGCCCTACAGTAGAACCATTTCTGTCTTTGTTACGGCTATTCTAATGCCCAGTTCGTCCAGTTTCCTTATTACCCTGTTCACAGCATGTTGCGTGATTCCCTCCAATTTTGCACCGTTCTTTGCCTTTGTCACTAGAGCTATGTCATCAGCGTATGCGATGATCTCCACGTCTTTCCCAAGATTAATTCTCACGAGGCTGTCATAAAAGACATTCTAGAGGGTCGGGTCAAGTACAGATCCTTGAGGAACCCTGCACGTCGTGCGGAATTTATTGTTTTTCTCGGTTATTATGTCTGTCTTTTAGGTTGACTGTGCCATTCTAACAATATAAGGGCTAATAGTAGTTTCCCTCATTCCTTCGATGACTTTAGGCCATGGTGCAGAGCTAAAGGCATTCTGTACATCGAACGTAATCATGGCATTGGTTCTTTACTCGGGGGATCTCCTTCTCGTTATTCTGGATTTCCTGCCACTCTACTATTTCACACTTGGGAAATAACAGTTCTACTTGTTCTGTTTCTGTCTCTTCGCTGAGGTTCATGTGAGTTCTTATTTTGAATTTGTCTATTATGCTTCGGTATGCAAGTCCCCAGATGTCATTATCCAGTTCATTGCATCACTTTCTCCATTCTAGATGTTTCTGTTTCCTGATTGCATCGTTGAGTGCTTTTTTCAGTATTTTGTATTCGTCCTGTGCCTCAAGTTTAGCCTGTTTCGTAGCATGTCTTTTCCTGATTCTCTGTGAGTTCCTTCTGGCTTGAATGCATTGTTTTCGTTTGTCTAGTATGTCGAGTGTCCACCAGTCCAACTTCCAGGTCTACGTCCCTGAACATGTTCTTACTTTCTCTTTTTAGGCTTTCGAGTCTACTGGTCGTTAGCATTCAGCCACCCTTCCTCATGTGTTCGTTTCCTGTGAGAGTTTTGTTTCTCTGTAGGTCGCCGAGTATAGTCCTGTGATCGCTAAAGTTTTCATTCTCTACGTCAACTCTCCATTCTTGGAATTAGTTGCAGATGCTCTGTATGGCAATGGTAATATCTAGGAGTGATTCCCCGTTAGAGTTTGAGAAGGTGGGTGTGTGTCCCCGGTGTTTATTGCCACAAGGTTTTCTCTGCCGAGGTCTTCCAAGAGTTGCTCATAGGTGTCTATGTCTTGGTTTGGAGAAAAATAGCAAGAGATGATCAGGATAGTGTCCAGTTCGATGCTAGCGAAGCCCTTCTTACTTGTATTGTTGAAAATGGTCAGTGGTGTTTTTATCCCTATAAAGCTGTCGCCGCGCCGTTCTTATCACAGAGGTATTTTCACATTCTCCTACGGTTTGATTATTGGCCTAAGATGATGTCAATTTTCTCTTCCCTCGCTGTTTGTTTTAGCAAATCGTGGGCTGCTGCGCGTCTGTTCATATTTAATTGCAGGAACTTTAGTACGCCTGTCTCGTTATTTGTGTTGGCAGCCATTGAGGCGTGCCGACCTTCTGTTTATGGAGAGAGCCCTACGGAATACTTCCTGATCCTGCTTGGTCACACAGTCGACATTTATCATCTTTTTGACATGTTTTTGCCTTGTGTCCAGTGTCTCCACATTTGAAACAACTCTTCTGTTGGGGTCGGAGCAATCCCTTACGAGGTGTTCCTACTCCCAGCATTAGTTGCACCTTATCAAATGTAGTCTTTTCTTCAGTCTGCATCTAACTATCCTTATCCGTATGTATTTCTCCTGTATTAGGCAGTCCGCTCTTTCCTTTGTTAACATTATGGTGATGACTTGAGTATTCCTTGAATTTGTTATGAATTTTCTTAGGATGTTGCTTGCCTGTGCTTTTCTTGCATCTTTTCCAGCACGTCTTTCAACGGCCGTCATCACCACCTTTGTGGTTGTAGATATGTCTACCCCTCTTATGTGTACTCCTTCCTTCGGGTTAGGCTCTTCTAGTCCGCTGCTTCTAATGTTTGTTTCTTAGTTCGAACCCCTAATTTTCTGTTCCAGTTTCTTTTCAGCTTTCCCTGCTTTGTTTGCCTTAAGGTAGGATTTTTAACTATCCGGTACTGCGGTGTGCGGCTTTGCGACGTCCGGTGAGTGGTGTATCATGTTGTAACATCGAGCTGTTTTGTGTGCTTTATGCGGCAACGTCACTGCGGCATCGCAAGCTGTCTTTGCGGCGGGCCGCTGAAATACTCCAAAATGTTTTTTGACGTTACCGCAGAAGTGTGCGATGCCCCACCACCTGACAAAATACTACAGTTTTCAGCTTTGTTCTTGCAGCCATTGCAGGCATCATGTAACATAATATATATATATATATATATATATATATATATATATATATATATATATATATATATATATCGACTTCAATTGCATTCAAAATATAGTAAAACGGGTCACGTGAAACTCTCAGGTATGCTTCAAATTGAGTTTCACTATTCAAGTGAAGTTCAATGAAAATGTTATAAGCTGCTTCTTGTGCATGACTTTTATAAATGTTTGATATTTCACTGCGATTTTCACACCAGTGCAATACAGCTTCTTCTTCATCTTATTCAAGCAAGAGAATCGCAGTAGCAATAGTACGACGAGTAGGTGATTCCATTTCTTGATCGCGACCTCTAAAATATTTGCCTGATAGTTGAAAAACAAATTTGCCGCCAACAGCATGCGGGTTGCGATATCCGCAACATCGCATTACTGCACACCGTTGCCGCATACCGCAATACCGGATAGTTAAAAATCCCACCTTTATCGATTTTATTATTTGGATTTCTTATGAGTTTCTTACATTCTGTTTAACATCTTCCAAGATTTGTTATAGTCTTTGGGTCTACTATCAGTGCTCCATATGTCATTTTTTTTCTTGGCTTTGTCTTTTTTATGTTGCTTTTGTGGTATGTATGACAGCATTAGTGTCTGCTCCTTGGAAAACCATTTCCACCATTTTCCGAAATTTGTCTAAGCTTATCATGTTTAATGCGGTGTGGGGCCACCCACTCCTCTTGCCTGGTCTCTTGGTGGAGCCTTTCCAGCGACTCCCATAGTCCAAAGTCACTGTCGTCTTTGTGACGAGTAGGATGATACCGCCACCCACATAATCGTTGAATGTGAGGCCTTACGCTGGTGGAGATACAGACAGATAGGGCCAGAAGACCCTATCTCCAAAATCACCAAAAGTAACACGGTGAAGAGGCTCCTAAACCTAATCAAGGTCACGAAACTTTTCACTAACTAAACAGACGAACAGGACAATACAATAAACCGAAGGCTGCATCTCAACCAACCAACCAGCCGCTGTCATCTTGCCGTATTTTCACTATTTTATGTCCTCTTGTGGGTTCCGAGCTTCCTCTTATCCTCGTCGTCTGTTCTATCATACCGACGTCCTAGGAAATATCCAGGATCTCCGGGTAGCGTAAAGCCAAACCCCTGTGTAATACAGAGCGCGCGATCCAGAAGATGCTCTGTATCACTCGGGGCTTTGTTTTTGATTACCCTGGGTCGCGTCGAACAAACCCCTGTGTAGTACAGAGCGCGCGGTGCAGAAGATGCTCTGCATCACTTGGGGCTTTGTTTTTGATTACACTGGATCGCGTCGAACAAACCCCAGTGCGATACAGAGCAACCTCTAATTTCTTGACTATTGACATTGAATAGAATCATTCGTATTGTTCAGTAACAGTTTGAAAGGTTAGAATTTCTCTTTTCTGCTGATTTTATAGATAATAATTCACGAATGGATGAAGCAATGTTGGAATGTTTATAGGAACGTTTGTGCGAGGACGTTAATATTCAAGGAATGACTATAGGCAATGACGAACGCAGATCACTATTTTAGTGAAGTGTAAGCTCTTAGGAGATTTCTTTTTCAAAAAAAAAATAGTTATTTCAATATTAGTATATTACGTGTGACTTTTGCTTCAAAAATACCCATCTTGATCAGCAAAATGTTAACAATTGTTAGACTAGACATTTATAAGGTCTGTTTCTGCAGAAACCACAAACCAGTCGGAGCAAATTTCATTGGTTGAAAACAGTCAGAAACGGTCAGAAAACTATATTCAACCAATTAAATTCACTGACTGATGAGCGCATATTTGACTCTGAAAACGTTTTTCTATCTCAACAATTGTCATACTTGACGGTTAAAATAAGACATGAAATAAAGATAACAGAAAATGATGTCAATTCTCTCATCAATAAATCCGACAATAGGTCCGTTTCTGCAGAAATCACAAACCAGTTAGTGAATTTAATTGGTTAAATTTGGTTTTCTGACTGTTTCTGACTGTTTTCAACCAATGAAATTCGCTCTGACTGGTTTGTGATTTCTGCAGAAACAGACCTTATAAATGTCTAGTCTAACAATTGTTAACATTTTGCTGATCAAGATGGGTATTTTTGAAGCAAAAGTCGCACGTAATATACTAATATTGCAATAACTATTTTTATTGATAAAGAAATCTCCTAAGAGCTTACACTATACTATATAGTCCAGGAGTTGGCGTCAAAAACATGCAAGAGTTTTCGCAAGGCGGATATTTTCAAAATAGGTCGTACTTTAGTGCTAGAATGCTAGTGTACAGTCAGCACTCACAGTTCCGGGACAGCTGGCTTTGGGACGCGGGCAAAGTTGTAATTTTAAGAAGCATCTAAACTGTTTTCTCAAAGCTCAAAATTTATAGAAATTTTGCACATTATCTGTTTGAAGGTCACAGATAACGTATGTAAATCGTCAGACGTCTAGTTCGTTGCAAAAAGGGGGTCAGACGTCCTCAAAGTTTTTATTTTATGGCATTTTCTTCAAATATATTTGTCAAATACCTGCAAAAATATATTTTGACAGGACACCGAAGAAAATGCGCTTGTCCAGTTTCTTGTTTTTTCCATATTTTTGTATGTCACTGGGACTTGGATTGTAAGAAAAGCAGATCGCCACCGCATAGACGTACTTGAAATGTGTACTTGGAGGAGAATGCTAAGAGTTATTCCTTATACAGCTCTCCGAACTATCGTTTCCATAATAAGCGAACTCAGAAATTAAAAACGGCTATGCTCTATTGTTTCAACGCGTATCCTGACATTTTTCGGCCATATCCATAGAAGTGATAATACGGAAAAGTAGTTTCACTTATCTACGAACCCGCGTACGTGAAATAAAATATATCTACCTACCTATGATCAATGTTTTCCTTGTCTTCAAATAAAGTTAAGTTGAAAGTGGTGACACGCTGAAATATTGCCAAGATTTCACTGCGCGGTGGATTTTCAATTGCTGCAACTGGGTATAATGACGTAAAATCTCCCAGTATTTTCCAGGTTTCTTGATAAAAGACCATTCCGATTTACCCTTAGGTGTTTTCAAATAAAGAACTTGGTTCAAACGATTATCATTTATCTCAATAATCTAGCAGCTATATCAAAGAAAACACATTCAAAGATATAAGATAAAAGAATAATGTCCGATAAGTCCGATCGGAAATAGAGATGTACCTTTTAAATTGAAACTATCATTCACATCAACAAAGGTAAAGGTTTCCGATTTTTTTCTTTTTACGCTGAAAGCTTTTTGGAATTGTTTATACAGAGTGTTCGTTCTAATAACGGCCTGTTGTTGAATAATTGTGGTTATAGTATTTTGCAGGCGCTCTCACATTATAGGGTAATTTTATTGATAAATATTTAATAGTTGACTGAGGTATCGAGTGAGATGATTTTTGCCAAGTCAAAGTCTACCGAATTTCAATTATTAGTATGAAGTACCATTATGTGTTCGATATTGTCGGGATCGATATAAAACAGAAATAATTATTAGTTATTTTCCTACGAGCGAACGAAAACCTTTTGTGTTTCAACCTAAAAAGCTCAAAGAAGCAGTGCGTGGAAAATTAATTTGGAGTGGTTCAGATCATATCTATCACAAAAGAAATCAGAAGGTCCCGGTTCCAGAAGTTCCTTTGGTTCTTCTCTATAGGACTTCAACTGACAGTATTTTTAATTGTATTATACACTCCAGTCTCCCATGCGCGGTTAGAGATGTAACAACTTTCTTCTGTATTCGTAAATTATTGTTTTCTCATCATTTGCAAACAAGGTTTTGTTGGTTTAAAGTTCAAATTTTTCTTCTCAACCTCACAATTTTACTCCTAACTTTCAAAATACAAATTAGTTGATTAATATGCTCAGCTAGATACCTACGGTTAATAAATTTAATTTCACAACCATCAATCCAAATAGAATTTAACAAACCGAGGATCTAACATTCTTGTTCAATTCGCTTTAGGTAACAACATAATTACAACCAATAAACGCGGTGCAGCCAACCATTCCAAACTCATCTTTTTAGCTTAGAGTATTCAAGTATGCAAAACTCCACTTAATCAACTCCAGACCAGGAATAATAATTACAGCTGGAGATTTAGTGCAATTTTCGAAATTTAACTGCCCATGAATAAAGGAGCAAATATTTCAGAAGTTAAGGCTAAATAATGAGCGTATTTGAATTTGGAAAATCTACCAAAATTGACTTATGTTATGCCAAATATTTAGTTGGAGTGAAAGATTAAAATTTAGAAATATTTTCGAACCCGCCGAATTCAATCTAATAACAATGTGAAGGTTTCTTATTATACTTTGCAAATAACAATCGAGATTTTCTTGTTACCGCTATTATATTCCGGGACTTGTTTCGCCCTATCGGGTCTTATCGTTGTTGGAAATGCCGTCCGAGGATGGAATAACAAAAACTAGAAATATTCTTTTATTTTCATTTTGTTTCGCGATGTCGTCTAATCAGACTACAAAAGTCTTCTCAAAATAGCTGATTAGTACTGATTTCAAACCATATTGAAGCTATTTATTATACCACCAATTATATTTTCCGGTGAATAATTTATTTGCTGAATTATTAAACGATGACATAATTACCTATATGGAATTAAACGGATCACGGATCAATTTAGTATGTATATGTATAATGTACAACAAAATGGCTTTTCAATGGAAACTATACCTAATTGAAAAATTACAATTTTGATGTCCACATTAATTATTGTTTAGGAAGAACTTTTATTATAATAGTACCTGAAAAAAAAATTACCACTGTTTTTTTTTGCATTTCAGGAAACAATAGCCTTCAATGAACCTCAGAAGTACGTCCTCATTTGCAGTTTTTTTCTTTGCATCATACTGACGCTGTTCACAACCATTTGTCTGGGTGCTTCGTGTTTCCTTACCAAATATTCCTGCATAATTATCCTAAAGTTGCAATGTTCCATATCGATATTTCTTTGTGAAGTGCTGTTTGCTATGGCAATTTTGATAGAACCACCACAGGTACACTATAGCCTTATATTACTTGGTTTTTATTTATTTTTTTTCCACTATGTAGCATGTTTAGTTGTAGTTCCTAGTATTAAGTTGAGATGTTGAAAAAACAAGTCTCCGGAGGTGTAAAGAAAGGTTGATATTAAAGGTATTCTCATTAGGAACCATTATAGAAGTGCTCTTAGGAGAATGCTTCGCTATAGAAAATGTAGGTGAAATTGGACAATATAAAAAAATTAATCTCTAGATGTTCCCCAAATAGATAAATTTTAAGTTAAGATACCTATTGGTATTAAGTACCTACAAGATAAAGCTGAGGGTGAAATAGATCAAATCCAAGGAACTGTCAAAATTGAGGTAATTTAATTTAAAAAAATTATGAGTTTTTGTCCTATCCCGGACTTCTATTCTAAAACTTCACCCTTTCAGCACTCTCCTTCTTGAGAAGACAATGAGGGAGGCAAACAGTAAATGGTCAGACAGGCTTCTGCCTGGTTTACACCCACTCTATTTAGAAAAAATGGTCCAATAATCCCACATTAACAATTGATTTCGAAAACCAAAGCAGCAATCTATATGTATATATAAACGTGAAATTCACTCACTCACTGACTGACTGACTGATTAAACACGAAATCTCGAAAACTACTAAACCAATCGAGATGAAATTTTACAAACAGGTAGGTAATAGGTTGGAGATGCTCACTAAGAAATAATATCAACATGGCCTTAAGCAATCGCTTTGAATAACCAAAAATAGAAACGGTGTGGTGCGGGAGTGCGGGGAAAAAAGTGTAAACAGAAACAGACGACGTGTCAGCTGTCAAATTCAGAAATATGACAAGCAGAATCAAATTCTTAGCGAATTCCATTTGCAGAATCAGTGCAAAAAAAAAATGTGTTTTTGTCGTTATATTTTCATGCTTTCACCAGAAACAATTCGGAACCGATTCTGAAAAAATTCCACCGGTCCCAGGCTAAGCTAACTTCAAGTTTGAGACATGACATTCGCAATTCGTTCACGTATTCACGACAGTCTGGAGCAAGGTTCTGGAGTTTTTGTTCGGTTAGAAAACTGTTCGCGATAAAATAGGAACCTGAACCCATTCACAAGTTGGGTTCGGGTTGCTCACTCCGAGTTACTCCGATCGCACTCCAGCCGTTATCTGATAAGCTAAAAGGTAATACCCGAACGGCTGAAGTGCGAACGGAATCACTCGGAGTGCACGGAGTGAGCAAGCCGGACCCAGCTATAACTGGGCATGCGCTCTACGATAGTCCTCAATTAGTTCCGGACTGGTTCGGAATCGGTTCAAAATATGATCCGTGAACAAAGCTATTAGCAGCGAGTGGCACTTCAAAAAAAATTTAACGTCAGCTGTCAAAAAATAGTCTTCATATTCTGCAGCCACAAAGCAGAACAAAAAATGGGGTTTACAGAGAGGTGCTGCAAAAATAAGAGTTACATGACCATAGACGATTTCGCCACGTTTTGATTGGTAGGTAAATTGGTTAACCGCTAGGTAGGCTCTTCGTCACAAAAGTGACGTCGCATACCATTTTCAGCCGAAATCGGCCGGTTTGTCAAACGTCACGTGTATGACATGATAGTGATGGTATAACCCTTTTCACGTGGCAACATACCGCTCAAATTCGAGTGGTATCGATCACTTCACTTTGTAACCGGGTTAGAAAACGGTATGTCATATTTGACATACCGCTACTAACCGTTTTGTAACCCGGTTAGTTTAAACCGGACCACGTGAAAAGGACTTATGCCTGAGAAAATAAACATAAACAAACTACTGAATACTTTTTATTGTTGGAAACTAAAATTGGGACTACTGAAAATTAATTGTGTTTATTTGTTGTGTTTAATTTCAAATATAAACAAAAAAGTGAGGTTAAATTACCTCAAATTAGAGAGAGATAGGAAGCTACCAAAGCAAATAACCGTGCTTCAAGCTCGGTACCCAATTTGACATACCAAAATAGATACCAAAGTTATCGTGACGTCATTGTTTTACGTGCCGAAATTGGTTGGTACATTTTTGACCAACCAAAGTGGGTTACCAAAACGTGGCGAAATCATCTCATATGTCTGACGCAACTATCCCCTTTGACAACTAGCTCTTTGAAAGAAGATCACCTAATGCTACCTACACCCTACACCTACAAAATTTGTATAGGGCGTGCGAAGCCGCGGGCAACAGCTAGTACCCATTTATTTGTCAAAACTTTGGATTGACTCTCCTCAGAAAAATGTGGTACCATACAAAATGAAAGTTCACAATAGATATTTTTGAAAAATATGATATTTATATTTTTAGGTAGATGAGATTGATTCCGAAAACCAAAGCAGCATTACCTATTTATTTGTCAAAACTTTGAATTGACCCTCCTCAGAAAAATGTGTACCACACAAAATGGAGGTTCACAATAGATTAAAAAAAAATATTATATTTATATTTTCAAGTAGATAAGATATCAGGCAATAAAAACCCAACAGTGATAGTAAACACTGATGGTGAGATAAATTGAAAAAATATTAGGGGAAAATCCAGAAATCTGAAGGAAAAATATTACAAAATGAAAATCGACTGCTTGTTCAACCGTCTGCCCGAAAGAGGCATTTTTAGAACCCAATTCCCTTTAGGAAAACCAGTCCTTTTTTTTATACTTAACTACATTGTGACCATTCGACCAATCAGAAGACATAACTTAATACACACAAAAGATACCGTATTCACTTAATTAATGAAACACCACGCTGATTAAATGGGAATCGATAGAAACACACTAGAGTTATTTTAATTGTTAGGTTAAGAAACCTATTGATATTAAGTACCTACCATATAAAGCTGAGGGTGAACTAAATTAAATCCAAGGAATTGGCAAAATTCTTGAGATGTTTTAATTAAAAAAAAAATATGAGGTTTAGTCCTATCCCGGACTTCTATCCTTTCAGCATTCTCCTTTTTGAGAAGGCAATGAGGGTGTCAAACAATAAGTGGCCAGACAGGCTTCCGCCTGGATTCGGCAAAGTGTTGATAGGGGTGGACACACGAATTCGGTTAACACCCACTCTATTTAGAGAAAATGGTCCAATAATTCCACACTAACAATTGATTCCGAAAACCAAACCCAATTCCCTTTAGGAAAACTAGTCTCTTTTTTTTATTCTTGACTGCATTGTGACCATTCGACCAATCAGAAGACATCACTCAACACACACAAAAAATACCGGTTCACTTCAAGTGACTTCAATAATGAAACACCACGCTGATTAAATGGGAATAGATAAAAACACACTAGAATTATTTTAATTGCTTACAAATCATAATGATTTAAATTAAGGTTATGTAAGAAACACAAAACCGCTAATAATCATTGCAGAATCAGAAGTTAGAGAAAGACAGAAATATATTTATTCGCTGAAAGCAGGATAAACTAAATCTATTAGGTACTAGATGGCGGTACGTTGGTAATTTTATTAATAACAGATATTTTAATTTTTATGCTCATTTTATTGTGGATAGATGGCAATACTGATATTATATTGAATTAATTAAATTTAGTAGATACTTTTCAAATTACTCAAATTTTAAAAAATTATTTTGCTGATTCTGAAACGGCGAAAATACAACTTTATAATGAAAATTAGAAGAAATGGAACATGTTACGAAAATGATAAATTTATCGTAACAGGCTCAAAATTAATTTGGAGAAAAAGCAGTATTTTCACCCGAACGTTGGACTGAGGCTCCAGTCAGTTTTGATTATTTGACAAATGCCACAAAATGCGTTCAAATCGTTTCCCTGGATTTATTTCAAATGTCTATTCCATGTACCCTTTATTGTATTTGTTTGTCAATGTATTTTAGAGGGACGATTCAAAGCAATGAATTGAAAGAGAATTTTAAGGGATAAGTGTATATGGAAGCTATCACTGAAATATTATCATTTTACATTTGTTTAGAGATATGAATATTATTGATAAATAAACTATTCCTATGTATTTAGTAGCTTTTTTTTTTCAAATGTTCTTATATTATTCATAATTGCTTGAGCCACAACTACCTTTTCTTCATTTAATGAATCTTTAGTATGAAATTATGTATGTCATTGAAATTTTCTAAATTTTGTTTTAGAAATACATGATGGTCTACTTGACGTTCCTTGAGATGTTTCTATTGCTTGCTATATCGAGTCATCTCAGCAAACTTCTGATTGTTTTCACGGAATTGATAGAAGTTCCCAGAACAATCTCACTGAAATACACCGTGATGGGAATTATATCTGGTAAGAAATGTTACAAATAGAATAAGGAATAAAAAGTTTTTAAAAATATAACAAACTAATTTCTTGGGCATGATTTTGTCAGATCTTCAGCGGCCTTTTTGAACTTATTTTGTTGTCTTATTAGTATATGCTTTACAATCCGAATCAAATGATGAAATGATTAAGCTGCCTAAAAAACGTTAAGCCCTATTATCATAGTTTTATCGGAGATAGGTAGTTACTGGGTAAAGTCTCATTGGAATTATATCACTTCAGTTCGAATGCAAGCGTATTCTATCTAGTAATTTGCCTAATACCTACTAAATAAATACCTTCAATAATTTGTTTCAAATATTTTCAGGCGTACCCCTCTTAACAATATTTGGAACTCATCTTGCCTATAAGACAATGGACCTGAATTTGAAATCATGGTGGATGTCAGAAAACTCGTTGGCTTTCAATATTTTTCTGGCTGTACTTTCGGTAGTCACTGGACTATTTATTTTCATTTACTTTTTGCTCACGAAGAAACTGAAGGAATTGCTTGTTAGTCAAGAGAAGAATGAAATAGCAGTCAAAATGAGGTATTTATTCGACACAAATTAGTTCTTACAGACACAATGTCAACGAGTCATTCAATAATGATATTTTCGTTTCAGAATCGCCCTAATTCAAAGAGCTGGATGTCTATTTTTCTTCCTATTGATATTTGCTTTTAGCAGTATTGTATACATAAATGGACAGAAATTGTTATGGAATATTTACCAGTTCGGAGCCGCAAATGCAGTATTGGTACGTAGAAATAATTTTTAGATAACAAAAATGCCTCTTCGGTTTGCTGCAAACTATTCAGTTAATTTGCTGAAAAAGAAAAGAACTTTATTCTCTTATTTTAGGGGGTGGTTCTCACACTGTGTTACATACTAAAAGCTGAAACAGAATTCAGGAAGTTATTTAGAAAAAGACCGGAAAAACAGGAGGCGTCTTTTTTCAACTTAGATTCAACTGGACCGTTGCAATGTAAGTTTTTTTTTTTTTTAATCATTCGGAATTTTAGTTAAGAGTGCTTCTATTAAGCCCGCACCGCACGATCTGTTCAATCCTCTTCAACAATGTTGGACACACACAACGTTCGGGCTGTGGGTGAAAATGTCGTGTGATGCAGGAAAATTGATTTCTTGACTCTGCACCAAACAAAATGCCAAAATTCTATTGTAAATGACGTTCCTCTAGCGTCATTTGGTTTTCTCCGTGACGTGTTTTCTCGTGCGAACGTCTAATTAATAAATCAGCCGAGTAATTTTCACGGCGACAGACAATTGCTCATAAAGTCAGAATATCGATTATAAACTCTCTGGTAAACCTCTTTTCTAGCTGCCAAAATCTTCCTTCCGCTCGGGATTTGGAATTCTGTAATTTGGAGCTGTCTGTCTTTTTCGACGAGAGCGACCGCTTGTATTTTTCAAATTAGTTGACCTACTTGTCCAGTTATTATTTTGCTATATTTTTCTGCTCTAAGCAAAATATCAATTGGATTCGTGCTGAAAGTTGAGCCTGTATTGGGTAGCCGTTGTCCCAAAGGTTGGCTCCCATTCTATTGTGAGTAGTTTTTTGCATATACTTACGCAGATGCCCTGTTGATAAGCATGTCCGATTTCCAATGTTTCCTCCACATTCATGATCTTTAACGTAAATGACTATTATTAATTATTCTTTATACTATCCAGGACTTACATTTGTGATTCGCTTTCTTCAGTTTATTTAACTTTTGCTCCTTCTTCACCTGAGGTGAATGAGTTTTTCAATATCCTATATTGGCGATTCACCACTCAGTAATACTCTGTTCTTATAGTTTATATTAATTAGCACTATTAACAGAAATCTTTTTTGAGTAACACAGAAGCAGCAAATTGATTACTACCCTAATAGGTATTACTACCCAAATATCTTGCAATTTTTCCAAATTAATCAGGACTTAAATTTTACTTTCAAATCTCTAATAAAATAGCAACAATCTAAAAATTATCTAGAAATCTAGGTTTCATTTCTACTTCTGTTTGATCAGATTGTTTTATTTCATCTACCATTAGGTACTGACATTAACAAATATATATTTTTTTTTTCTATAAGTTCATTAGTCTATGTGAGAATATCCATGGCATGTGTTTCACATCATATCCCTTCAAATTGTGGAACTAACCTGGAAATATATACAGAAGCGTAATATCAAGGTTATTTTGTCCCATGTGTTGCACCTTAAAATTTTCAATGTCCAATATTGGCGACTCACCAGATAGTAATACTTTGTTCTTATACTTTGGCGATTCACCACTTAGTAATACTTTATTCCTATACTTTATAATAATTAGCATTATCAACATTATTCTTTTCTGAGTAATACAGATGCAGCAAATTGATTACCACCCTAATAGATATGATAGAAATTGAACTGAAACTCGTTTAAGTTAAGCATTAAAAGCCTTTTATGAAATGTCATGGAATATTTGAAATATTTAAAACTACCGTAAATCAATGTTCTCATTACAGTTTTAGCATTTTTATTATGTATAGGTATTTTTGAAAATGTAGCAAAACAAAATTTATTAATACCTACTTTGATTGCAGTTATGACCAAGCATCCGGGAGAATCGGATAACCAGAGTGATCAGCACCGTAAAGAAATCCAACAGATATCACTCAAGTCCTTCGAAGCCACAAAAGCAACAATTAGCAAAACCCAAAGCATCTCCAACGCATTCGAAAGCTGTCTACAAAGTAGTTCTAGCTTTTGCGATATCAGTGTCAAAGAGACATCTTCATTCCGGAAAGATAAAAACCTGCCTGTCCAGGAATCTTATAACAATAGTCCTCCAACTAATAGACCAATTAATTGCTCTAGCGTGTTTTCTCAATCCCCTGACATTTTAACCACAAAAACCTGTGTCGGATTAGATTTAGTAGCTTCCAGTATGTGCGTCACGCTGTCGAAAATAGAGAGTTCTGGTGAACCGTCACCCCTTAAATCATTTTTAAAAAAAGACAAAAGACCAACAGAGCCCAAGACTGTTCGAATAATGTTTCCTCCGCAAGTAATAATTACAACGGATGATAATATTTCTAAAACAACTGAAGTTGAAAACGATTCAATGCAAACGGAAAGAACTCAACCTGATGGTCATACAGACATCAGTACGAATTTGGAAATGTGCACTGATGTGCAACAAGAGACATCGCCAGTATCAAATGGGCATCACGTAACATTTAAAGAAGATAATCTTGATGGAGTTTTGAACAGTATATCACAGGATTTAGATTATTTGTTAAATAGAAGCAATGAGTCTGAGAGTGCAATGGGAACTACGACGCTCGCCAGAAAACCTCCGAAACCACCGAGTGCTGGTTCACTGAATACAGTGCCAGAACATTTAATTAAAAGTTGTGAAAATAGTACATGCACTGACAATCTTATATTAAGAACAAACTGTTGATTGAATAAAGAACTATCTAAAATTTTTCATAAATATATGTAAATCTTTTGAAATAAGACCATAATATTATGTCAATAATCTTTTTTTTTTGAACGATAATATTAAAAATGTATTCGTAAATATAGGTACTTAGTTATTAACAAGGAATACAAAATGTAAAATAATAATATAGATGTACCAAACACTAGACTATTCTGCATATTTGAAGCGTTTTAGATAAACAAGATGCTTTTCTGGACTTCATGGAATGCGAATCTAAGGATAAATATGTCAAGGGATATACAATACTTCGCAATGCCTTGAGAAACGTCAATATAGTATATCTATACATCTGATTGTATAATCATATTGTATCGATATTACACGATAGATCTTTAATAATCTGAAAGATCTGAAGGTTTGAGTTTAGCATAAAAGTCTTTAAAACTGATGTTGATTCCTACAAAATGTATTCACCTATCTAGTTTTCTCACTCATTATTATTTTTTTTATTTCAGTAACGTTGCATGAACCTCGAAAATATCTTTTTTCTCTTAGTTCATTAGTTTATGTAAGAATTTCTGTTCCATCAGTCTCTCACATCATAACCTTTTAAGTTGTGGAACAAGTTTGGAAAGAAATACGGAAGCGTAATATCAAGGTTATTTTGTCCCCCTAAAATTTTCCAGCTGAAAGATCAGGTTTAAGAGTCTATTTTCTAATAAAAAATCGGTACAAGAACAATGACAAAGACATTCGTAAAAATTTCAAATTTGGTTACACTCCTAGGATGTCCAGCAATCACAGATTAAGCTGTTGAAGCTCCTTTCTCATAACTTACAATCTACTTTTCAAGTTGCAAACTTTGCCTCGGGAAAGTTCAAGATAAAACGACATTTAACTGATAAACAGAATTTAATCAATGATATAACATAATCAACGTAATTTTAACAAACAAATAATGCTTGGCGTCCTACTGCAGAGCGTAGAGTGGAATGATCCCATCCCTCGCGGTTGCCGAAAAACGATGTGTTATCACTGATCTCAAAAATAAATGGATAAACAAAGATCGCTTCTAATGCTGCTAATTTACGAGGTCATTTGTAAACAAAAATAACTGACTGGGACAGCTGTGAGCGTGCGCAGTAGATACATGTATTGTGCGTACACAAAATCTGGCCAATGGAAACGAAGGAATTTCAAAATTTAGAACAGTTGTTCGAAAGATAAGACACTGCGCAGGCGTTAGGCTGTACCGTTGCACAACTGTTCGTAGAATGTTGACCCCAAATTTTCGTACAAATTTAGCCAATCGAGCCGTACGATTGTTTATCTATTTATTTTTTAGATCAGTGTGTGTTATCCTTTGTGCATCATCGTTTAGCTTATGTAACTTTTCCTCTGTTACCAGAAATCAGGTGATTTTTTTTACATTCGGCCATACTACTTCATTTTCCGTCCCGGAAAAAATATCTTTGCTGGAACTTATACATAACATCCAATATAATGCAAAACATCCAATATAATGCAAAAGATACTAGAGTGAGACAATCTAGTCGCTGATGGCCAGTCTTCGACAATATTCGTTCTCCTCAACAATTTTACACATACAACTAAATCAACAATAAAATAAACTGCTCGCCAAAAAAAACGGGACAAGCAATTTTTAGCACTATATTCAATTTGTAATAACTTTTTTATTTTATTTTTGATTTTATTGCGGTTTCTGGTATTCGATAGTCCATGTTGTAGACCACGTGGGACAAGAATATTTTTTTCGAAAAAATGCATTTTTGAAGTTATACAGGGTGAATACTAGATTGATGCAAAAATACAAAAAGTATGGATGTCTGCCATATTGACAATAATTTTTTTTTCGGATTTCTGTATAGGCCTTTAGTAAGTTGACATCAATATCTCCAGACGTTTTTGCCAGTTTTTTGATAAGTGCCCTTTGGCAGCAGATACAATATTAAACAACAAAGTTTACAAAATCTTGTGAGCATAATGTTTAAAGGGCTGTATCTTGAAAACGGTTGTATTCATTTCGAACATCTTTGCAAGTTTTGAAAGCCCATTTTTTCTGGAGGTGCCACGACTCGCTTGCTTTTTTTGCAGATGGCCCTGTTTACATTATACAGTTGTCGAGGAAAAAATACATCTCAAATTAGGCAAATTATGATAATTGTTCTTTCAACTCTATAGAAATTGATCTGTATGCCTTTTGTTTTCTTTGAAAATTGGTTAGGTGATACTCTGGGCCAATATCTCGGAACACTTTTTCCATTTTTTGCATAGGAGTTTCCTGAAGAGCCATTTTAGCACCACAATGTTGGAACGATGTGGCTCACGGTTTATGGGATTGTGAAACGTTTTCCCACAATGGAAGCTCATTTCATGACAATTAATCGGCTATTTTTGGAAATTTAAATTTTCTCATTATACAGGGGTTGCACAAAAGTAAAAGTGAGTTTCCTGAACATTCTCAAACGGCTTTAGCTTGAGAACAATTTTGGTAGCTTATTTTATGGAAGTTAACTCTCTTATTTTTTTAATGGAAAACTTTGCATTATACAGGGAGAATTATTTGGCTATTTTTGGAAATTGAAATGTTCTCATTATACAGGGGTTGCGTCAAAGTAAACCTGAGTTTGACAAAAATTCTCAAACGGCTGTAGCGTGAAAACAATTTTGGAAGATCATTTTATGGAAGTTAATTCTCTTATTTTTCTAATGGAAATCTTCGCATTATACAGGGATTACCGAAAAATAAACTTAATTTTGCAAAAAATGCTTGAACGGCTGTAACTTGAGAACGCTTTTGGAAACTCATCAGTTTGTCTCATTTTTCACGACCTGGCGTGACTTTTTTTGCATAACATACCCTTTTAGTATACACAGATCAAGCATAAAAACAAAATTAAAATTGCCCAAAAATGGTTAGTACTGGTAGTTTTGAAGTTATGCGAATTGGCTTATTTTCCAAACTTGCTGTTCAAACGTCGAAAAAGTGATCTTACTTTGTTGATTAGTGCTCTTTGGCTACAGATACGCTAGTTTTCTTATATCGTTGGTAATTGAATAGCATTGTTTTCGTAAGTTACAGCCATTCAAGCATTTTTTGCAAACTTAAGTCTACTTTTCGGTAGTCCCCGTATAATGCTAAAGTTTTCATTGAAAAAATTAGAGAGTTAACTTCTATAAAATCATCTTCCAAAATTGTTTTCACGCTACAGCCGTTTCAGAATTTTTGTCAAACTCTGGTTTACTTTTACGCAACCCCTGTATAATGAGAACATTTTATTTTCCAAAAATAGCTGAATAATTCTCCCTGTATAATGCAAAGTTTTCCATTAGAAAAAATAGGAGAGTTAACTTCCATAAAATAAGCTTCCAAAATCGTTCTCAAGCTAAAGCCGTTTGAGAATGTTTAGGAAACTCACTCTTACTTTTGTGCAACCCCTGTATAATGAGAAAATTTAAATTTCCAAAAATAGCCGATTGATTGCCATAAAATGAGCTTCCATCGTGGGAAAACGTTTCACAATCCAATAAACCGTAAGCCACATCGTTCCAACATTGTGGTGCTAAAATGGCTCTTCAGGAAACTCTTATGAAAAAAATGAAAAAAGTGTTCCGAGATATTGGCCCAGAGTATCACCTAACCAATTTTCAAAGAAAACAAAAGGCATACAGATCAATTTCTATAGAGTTGAAAGAACAATTATCATAATTTGCTTAATTTGAGATGTATTTTTTCCTCGACCCCTCTATAATGTAAACAGGGCCATCTGCAAAAAAAACAAGCGAGTCGTGGCACCTCTAAAAAAAATGGGCTTTCAAAACCTGCAAAGATGTTCGAAATCAATACAACCGTTTTCAAGATACAGTCCTTTAAACATTGTGCTCACAAGATTTTGTAAACTTTGTTGTTTAATATTGTATCTGCTGCCAAAGGGCACTTATCAAAAAACTGGCAAAAACGTCTGGAGATATTGATGTCGACTTACTAAAGGCCTATACAAAAATCCGAAAAAAAAATTATTGTCAATATGGCAGACATCCATACTTTTTGTATTTTTGCATCAATCTAGTATTCACCCTGTATAACTTCAAAAATGCATTTCTTCGAAAAATATATTCTTGTCCCACGTGGTCTACAACATGAACTATCGAATACCACAAACCGCATTAAAAACAAAAATAAAATAAAAAAGTTATTACAAATTGAATATAGTGCTAAAAATTGCTTGTCCCGTTTTTTTTGGCGAGCAGTTTATAACTTAGACTACAACGCAGCCTAAATGAGACGTTTCTCAGATAGCTGTAGACCAAGTTTCTGGAATCTTTTCAGACTCGGATTCACTATTACTTCCAAAAGTAGCTAAAAACGGTTTCGTGCGGTCAGATGAGCTAACCCCTCTATAAATTTTCTGTGCACGTTTTGAGCTGGGAAAATCCTCTTTCATATACCGATCATGATCCAAAACCTTAGTAACTTGATAAGGACCACTAAACTTAGGCAGTAACTTCTTACTCTTGCCATCGTTCGAAACGTTTACTCTCCCTAAGAACAACTTGGTCCCCTACACTATATTTTTGACACTTCTTTCAATTAGCGTTAAAGAATGCTTTTTGCTTACACTTGTAAAGCAGGAACCAATATTATTCGTCTTGGAGTACCGAAAAGGTAAAATATACTCTCCAAAAAGGGTATTTAGGTAAGAGTTACGTTTTGTACTCTGAACAAATGGCCCCAGGTGGTCAATGTGAAGAGTGGTCATTGGAATTGTTATTTTTTCGATACTGTGCAGAAATCCTTCTTGCTTTCCTGCTGGCACCTTATTGAATGCGCATGGCAAATAAGCAGATATATACCGGCTCACATATTTCGCATTCTAGAAAACCATTATTTGCTAGAGATATTCTGCAGCGTTTTTTTAGTAGCGAAGTGACCCAAATTGTCAACTTTATCCTGTCGTGACAGGATACGTAGCGTAGAGTCGGGAGGAAAGGGAATGGCTTGGTATTTAGTTTAAGGTATATTGTAGAGTAAAGGTTATAATAGTAATAACCAAAAGATGGCCCTATGGTACATAGTGCCTCTTCTATAGGGGCACACGTGGACTACCTGAAAGACACAAAGCTACGTTAGAAGCGATTCGCTAAAGTAAAGGAACGTCTAGAGGACCTAGAGGTAATTGGACTGGACGGCACGAAGACTGTAGACACCCAGAGGAGCTTTCCCAAAAGAGGCATTTGCGCTTGGTGGAGACTTGAGGCCACAGGAACTTTCCTAAAAGAAGTAATTGCGCTAGTTCAAGTCTGCCTATTCGTGTGTTGCCGACCATTATTTATATTCGTTTATCGCTGCCTCGCCATCCAATATGTCGGTCAGTCATATACAGGATTATATTTTCCTAGCTAGTTTTGCTTGTTGACATATTATGCTCTCCCTCTGAGAAGCATTGGACCCCAATGCTATAGAAGAGCCACCATCACAACTTCAATGATAAAAAATACCTTAATCTAAAAACATCATATACATTATATAACATATATTATAAAAAAAGGGGATGGCAACGGGTGCATTATAATTCAGTCAACAAAAACGATAAATTCAGAAAAATATATGTTTATTGCTTCAGCCTTGAAGTTTTTCTTGGATCTGTGTATCCTTTTTCTCCATGTGGGTTGGATTAGGTTCTGCTCACCGTTGCATCAATGGCCATTTGGTGCTCAGATCCCGGTTCCATGTCCTTAAATTCTTTCTCCTGACGGTTTGGTCAGCTAGGTTGTGGGGTGTACCGTCCCATGGTCTAAGTGTCCGTTGCCTGGTTTGTTATGCCCCTTCTTTATTGATAAAGACATGAGCCTCTACTCAGTTCAGAGCTATCGCAAAGTACCTGGTTGACCTTTCTGTTCTGGTTGTTGTGTATCCATTGACTTGGTCCGTCCCTGGCTGGTTCTTGCATGTGTTTGTTCACATGAAAAATAAAATAACGCTATAAGTCGCACCAAATGAAACCAAATCTGCTAATCCTCTTCTTACGATTTACTCCAAAACTATGTTTTCTATCCTATTTCTTAACTATCTTATACCAAATTTATATCTAGGCTAGCCTCTGTCTGCTTTTTTTTCCTTGTTGTGTACGTACAGTCTCTAATTCTTCTCCATATACATATTTTTTCCTTCTGATAACTATACTGTCGCTGTAGTCTGTTGTCGTTTCTGTTTATCGGGAACATACTAATGATTTCGGACTCCACTGCCACTTCTGCTTCTTAATGTTCACCTAACTTGTTTCTTCATCACTATTGGATTCTACTTCCGACGCACTGTTTTCCATATTTATCTCATCTTCTGAATCTCCATTGACTCCTTCCATAGAAGCGCCTTCTGTCCATTGACGCCTTCCATCCTACTTGCGTGGACTGTATCTCTATTCTTCTTTTTGCTTCCAATTTTTTCTACCTCATAATTTACTTCTCCCAATTTCTTAATAATGTTTTATAGTAAAAACCATCACAAAAGCAGCTTCTCGCTGCGACCAACCTTTCTTATTGACATAAATTCTTTCACTTTGCTAACTTCAAAATGTTATTCTCTGTGTCTCTCGTCGAATCGCTCCTCATATTTTCCTTGCCTCTTATTTCTATTTTCCACTGCTATAGCTTATCAAAAGTGCCTTTGGATCGTAGATTGTATTTATAGTGTTCTTCTGACATTCGATTAATGTAATACTTTTCCTATATTCGTATTTGATAGCCCTTGCGCCTTCACCCATCGATCTAATTGTACTACTTGTTTGAAGGATTTCTGTACTTTTCCTTTTTTTTTTGAGTGAGATTAAAGGTTATGATAGTAATTACCAAAGAATGGCCCTATGGTACATAGAGACTATTCTATAGGGGCACAGGGGGACTACCTGAAAGACACAAAGCTACTTTAAGCAAAGGGTCGTCCAGGGGGGCTTTCCCAAGAGAGGTAATTGCACTGGACGACACGAAGACTGAAGATACCTAGACCTAGAGGAACTTTCCCAAAAGTGGTAATTGCGCTGGGTAAAGATTTGAGGCCAGAGGACCTTTCCCAAAAGAGGTATTTGCGCTGGTTCAAGTCGGCCTATCCGTGTGTTGCCGACCACTATTTACATTCGTTTATCGCTGACTCGCCAATCAATAGATCGGTCATTCCTATACAGGGTTATATTTTCCTAGGTAGCTTTGCTTGTTGACAATATTATCATGATGGTACATAGTAAATAGTAACCACTCGTCGTCCTGTTTTTGGTACATACCATTTTGGACCATTGTGGGTTTGCATATATAATATTTTGTCCTTCAGCAAATAATCTTTGTGTACTTGCTTTTATTTGAAGTTTTAGACAGAAATTCCATTATTTTCTGGCATTGATTATCTTTTATTTGCACCGAAATAACCCAATCATCCTGGGTGATATCAACTTGCAAAACGCCTGCTTCCTGGATTGCTTGGCGACACCAATTTTGATCAATAAGATTCCTAGAAAGCGCATCGACATGTGCCATCTTCGAACCCTGCCGGTACTCTACCGCAAAATTAAATTCTTCGGTTATTAGTCACCATCTAGCAATTCTAGAAATAAGGTCACGTTTCTGCATTGCCTTTCTTAAAGTACTACAATCGGTTACCACTTTGAATGACAACCCCAGTAAATAGACTCTAAGCCGATGCAACGAGCTGATTACCACTAGCGTCTCTAGCTCATAGGAATTATATTTTTCTTCATCTTTTATTGTCTGACGGCTAAAATACAATACTGACTTTAAGTTGGAATCGGTTAGTCGTTGAAAGAAAATAAATAAATAACTACATAAACTGACGTACTTGATGATCATTCTTGGGTACAGGAAACTTCTCTACAGCAACAATTTTGGAAGAACCAGAACGTATCCAAGCAGCACTAATCTCGTATTCTAAGTAATCAATTTGGTTTTGGAAGAAATTACATTTGGATAAATGCAAAGTAATACCCGCATTTCGGACTGTTTGAAAAACCTCTCCCAGAGCTATTATTTCAGATGCCACGGTAGAAGAAGGCGCCAAAGTATCGTCCATGTACGCCAATGCCCTAGAGAACCTCATAGAGCTCAATACATTATGGTTTATTGTTCTTTGGAAAACAGCAGGTGCGTTGACCAGCCCAAATGTCATCCTTAAGTACTCGTACTGGCCATCTGGAGTCACACAAGCGGTTTTCTCTCTGGATTCCCTTTCCATTGGTATCTGGTGATAGCCGCTTGCCATATCCAACGTAGTAAAAAAAATACAGCCTTTCAAAACTGCCAAATGATCATCGACTCGCGGGAGCGGATAGCAATCTTTCAAAGTTTTCGAGTTCAGGGTGCGATAGTCGACGCACATTCTAGTTTCGCCATTTTTCTTTTTGACCAGAATAATAAGAATCGAATACGGTGAATTGGATTCCTGAACTATACCAGCTGACGGAACATTTCCCCTTTTTAAATGCAGATAGTCTATAAGGTCTTTAAGTTACCGGTTTATCGTCCGTTTAACGAACTTTCATTTCTGCATGTTTAATTTCACCTGACTCATCCATATTTTCCGCAAAAACATCTCGATGGTAATTTAGAAGTAATAATACATTTTTAAGAACTGTTTGAGACATGTTTTCTGGAACGCGATATTTTATATCATCTAAAGAATATTTTGACAGGTTTGCAATATCAATTGTGTGACAAGTACTTACATTTTCTGCTTCAGGGATACATGGACTGCCTCTCGCTACTACTTGGTCCCTCCTAAAACTAATTGTCCCTCTGGACAAGTTCAGTACTGAAATCTTGTAGGCTGACGAAGATATAACACACCTAGGCAGAATATATTTCTTATCAGGCTGCAAGCATCTACGCATTTCTATAAAAACTTCAGATTCGAGGTCATCTCTACATAGATATGCAGCTTACTGGGCCAATGTGACCCGCTCAAAATGATTTTTTTCGATGGGAGTTTATCAATATTTTGTATCTCTGCTACATTGGGAAACACTCTAAGATTTCCTTTGTGATTAAGAGTCACTATAGGTTATTATCGTCCAGATAAAGGATAACGCACACCTAATGGGATTTTTGGGTTCTATGGATTTTGCCCATTTTTTGATATGTTGTAGAGGATTTAACTCCTTTATTAGATGTGAAAAATCACCCATTCTCCGAAAGAAACTCTTTTTTAAAAAATTTTTAACGTTTTAATATTCAAAACAATATTATAGGCAGTTCCAATTGAGCAATCAAGATAAGTGGTGGGTGCCAAGTACTTGCTCCCAACTTGCCAAGTGTAAACAGTCATGTTATCTGTCAAACAGTGTCAAAATATAAGTTAATCAAAATTTCCAGTAAAAACCTAAAAATGAATTTCCTAAGCAAATTGTATTCCATTTGTTTCAACAAAGCTCTTCTCCAAAGACAAAATCATAAAATGCTAACAAAGTCGTATTCTACAGGATCTGGGTTACTGAAAGTCACTATAGTGGGAGCTGCAGGAAAAGTTGGCCAGCCGCTAGCCCTTGCGCTAAAACAATCCCCCCTTATTGATGAACTTTGTCTTCACGACTTAAAACCTACTACAGCTTTGGGGTTGGAACTGAATCACATCGACACAAGATCTAAGGTAACAGTCTACAGTGGGAAGGATAACTTGAAGCTTGCTTTAAAAAACACCAAAGTTCTAGCTGTAGTAGCCTCAGCTCCAGGCGCTGATACCCTTAGCTTCGAAAAAATGTGGATGCCCAATTCAGAAGTGATTAAGGAAATCATGACTGAAGTTCGCCAATATTGCCCAAAGGCTCTAATAGCGATAGCTACCAACCCAATAAATAGTATCATGCCTCTAGCCAGTGAAATGCTTAAAAAAGGTGGCATTTTCAATCCGAATGGTGTGTTTGGAGTCACTTCTGTAGATGCCGTCAGAGCAAACACTTTTGTGGCTAATGTCCAAGGATTGGAACCCGAATGCGTCGAAGTACCAGTGGTCGGTGGTCACTCTACCGAAACTATTGTGCCATTGTTATCACAGGCGAAACCGTGTGCAGATTTTACTAATTCTGAAATCGAAGATATTACAGCACGAATTCGAATGGCACACGAAGACCTCATAAAACTAAAGCCTAGTGAAAGTGGAGCTTTATCCAGTGCCTTTGCCACAGCTCGTTTTATTGTGTCCCTGATTAAAGCATTACAAGGTCAGCCAAATGTTATTGAGTATGCATACGTGAAATCCAGCGTGCATCCGTATTTGAAGTACTTGTCAACGCCCCTATTGCTGGGAATGTATGGCGTACAGAAAAATTTAGGTTTCTCTAAGATGACCGATTACGAACAGTGCATGTTCGATAATGCCGTTACGCTTATAGCGAAAGACATCAAAAGAGGTGAACATAGTGCTGGTGTCCACGAGCCTGGTCCACCCTGCGATCCCTGTACTCCTATTCGTCGAGGTCAATGCCCTTATGACTGGTGTAATATAAAAAATTAATTATTTGAAATTTGTAACAAAATTTTTATTTCTGAAATGTAATTTTATTCGATAATATCAATAACTAGGTACTATAAAATATAATTAACAAACTCAATAATTTGTTGTCTAGTGTTTCACTTTTGGCCATCACAACGAGGCAGCCAATATATCATAGTTCGTTTTTTGCCCCATGTTTTACTGAATAGTCTCTGGAATGTCTAGTACGCGACTGTTGCTCGATCGATTATTCTTCTTTTGAGTTCCAAGGTAGTTTTTGATCTACGACTTTTCCTTGTGAATGGTACAATCATTGTTAGGATTCACCTCTAGACTCTCTTGCAAGCACCAGTTTTTGATAATATCTAGATGAATTCACTGATGATCCTGTCATGTTTGCTTATGATGACTGTACGGTCATCAGCATATCTTAAGACCACAAATCCATGGCTGCTTAGTATGTTTGGAAGTTCGTCTATTACTATGAACCATATCAGTGGGGACAGTACACCTTAAAAACTTGATACAAAATAATGTTTGTATACGAATACATACTTATTGTGTAGGTTGTGATGGAAAGGGTGGTTTGAACTTATTGTGTGTATAATTATAACTTAAATTTCTGATTGGTCCATTAAATCTTAATGGATGATCTTGAGATTTTTGGCTTGCTTGATTGGCATCGCTATTATTATTATTAGGTAGATTTTGAAAATATTTTGTGTTACTCTCTCTTATAACAAGTTGTATAGCATCAGAAGTCTATTGGTAACATACAACGAATTGTGTAGCCTATTTCTCTTAGAAAAGCCGGAAGTGTTTCGAAAGCAAGTTCTGCATATAAATTACGTTTTATTTGGCAGCAACATTTCGTAAGCATTCACGTAACTGCAGAATAAACTGAGTAAGCAATATTGAGGGGTCTCATTAGCATTTTGTTTGGTTGAAACGAGTTCTCTATTCAAACCGGACTTGTCTAATCTATCCGCGAAATGCCTAGTCAACGAATTTTCAGGCAGTTCCAGGTGGAAACATTCTGAATAATAACTACTTATCTAGCATTGCTAGAAAGTTTACCTATGAAAGAGCGTATTGAAAATATATGTATTTTGGAAGCAATTAATTGAATTAAATAAATAATTAAGACATTGTAATAAAATTGTCATTATCGATGAGAGATTTGCAAGTCGCTGTTTAGCTCGCAAGAGTTTCCAAATTCCATGAAATTTGGGAACGCAATTTAAATATTCGAGCTCAAATTGAGACGTTGCCGCCAGTTTACTGCGTCAATATTCAAAGCAGACAAATTGAAAAAAGAGTGAATTTAAGTTTGGGCTTACGATAGACACAAAGAGTACTTACTCCTCGCAGAAGTGATAGATATGGTTATCAATTCTCAAAATGCCGTTGCGAAACGATACCTGATTGATTGCTTCATGCACACTTTTCGTTGTCAAAGTCCGAAAGTTTTTGATGTTCAATCAAAATCTCTAACGGAATTTGTTTTATTTGCCAGTTATTTACACACCCAGTTATGAAGGTATAAGTCGGAGGTCGGAGGCTAAGCACAGTATTAACACAACTAGGCAAGGATAAGCTAATGAGAAATGAATGCAGAGACATGTCTCAGTTGCAGCTAAGGGAAAGCTTATAGTCTTTAGGTAATCAGTTTTTTTATTTCCGCAATTGGAAACAGCCTCTTGTGTTCTCGAATTAGAAGTATTGACACTTCATTCATATGCGGCGTCATGAAGTTTTTTCCACTCTTCAGTAGGTAAATATATCGACTAAATTTTCAAAATTTAAAAAAAAAAGAATTCGGGTTACTTGGAGAAATTTCAATTTTATCGGAAGAAGGAACATCAGTATCTAGACAGTAGTTTCTGACAGAAAAATTTCAGGAATGCAGAGGTACAGTCTAGGTTTACTAAGGAAAATACTTTGAATTCAGCTATTGGAAGTACGTCAGGTACTTACTAGAAAAATCATAGGTACACTACTCTACAAACAAAAAGATTTGGTTCCCAACAGAAACCAGAGTATCATATCCTGGTTAAAACGCTATTGCTGAAGCCAAATTTGATTACAGAATTTCTCTATCCCGTCAGGATTTTTAAATAAAAATTGATGTATATTTTCTTTCTCCAAAGATTTTGTTTGAATTTTTTGGCAATCTACTCTTAGTCTAGGAAAATAGGCGAAAAATACATGTATTGCAAAAAAAAAAATTCCTACCCAAATGAACTTTTCAGGGATGATAGGGGGTGGGTAGGTGATCATAAAACCGAAAATATCAAACATTCACCCCTCTGGCGTTTTGCGCTATAGGGGTTGAAAGTGCGCCATTGGCGATTACATGGTACCTATTAATTTTACAAAAAAATTTTTCAAATAAAAGATGTGCAACATTATTTGATCTACAATGTTTATCTTAAGACTTTTTTGATTAAGGGCCGTCTGTGGTCATAAGGGCCGTTAGAAATTTTATAATAAAAATGAAAAATTTTAACCAAGGTGAAAAATTTTTCTACAACACATACAACATTTTTGCTCTATGAAGTTTTCATTCACCCCCTGCCGTTTTTCAATAGGGGTAGTTTAAAGTTTATTTATTTTTTCACAAAAAAAATTTCCTATAAAAGTTTTATAAGATTACATTTCCTACAATTTTTCTCAATCAAATTTTTTTATAACTCACCCCCGTTCAGCGGGGGACACTTCCCTAGGGAAATTTTAGTTTTTAGGGGTATATATAGATTTTTTTTTCTTTTCTCGCCCTTAGTGCATATAAAAAGGTCCAATTAACATTGTACTAAAAGGATTTTTTTTCCACCACCTTTTTGATTTTAGGGGTAGTTCGCCTAGTTTCAACTTTGCAAAAAAAATTTATAGAGAAAAGTTGCTCAAAATAATAAAATTAACAAGTTTTCTTAATAATTTTTTTTTGTAAAGTTGAAAATAGGCGAACTACCCCTAAAAACAAAAAGGTGGTGAAAAAAAAATCCTTTTAGTAAAATCTTAATTGCAAATTTTTATATGCACTAAAGGCGAGAAAAGAAAAAAAAAACTAATATATACCCCTAAAAACTAAAATTTCCCCGAGGGAAGTGTCCCCCCGCTGAATGGGGGTGATTTACAAAAAAAGTTGATCAGGAAAAATTGTAGGAAATGTCATCTTATAAAACTTTTATTAGGAAATTTTTTTTGTAAAAAAATAAAAAAACTTAAAACTACCCCTATTGAAAAACGGCAGGGGGTGAGTAAAAACTTCATAAAGCAAAAATGTTGTATGAGTTATAGAAAAATTTTTCACATTGGTTAAAATTTTTCATTTTCATTATAAAATTTCAAACGGCCCTTATGACCACAGATGGCCCTTAATCGAAAAAGTCTTTAGATAAACATTGTAGATCAAATAATGTTGCACATCTTTCATTTGAAACATTTTTTTGTGAAATCAATAGGTACCAAGTAATCGCCAATGGCGCACTTTCAACCCCTATAGCGCAAAACGCCAGAGGGGTGAATGTTTGATAGTTTCGGTTTTATGATCACCCACCCTCCCCCTATCATCCCTGAAAAGTTCTTTTGGGTAGGATTTTTTTTTTTTTTTTGAAAATCGACAATTTTCCTAGACTATCTCAAAAATGGAACAAAAGGAATTGTACTGTTTAACTTATCAATTTATGCATCGTATCAAAATTGTTTATTTCAAATATCTCGAGTTTTTGTGTTCCCTGATTTTTTTATTCAATTATTAGGCGGTAAATTTTTATATAAAAAAAAATTGACGTGATGGAGATATTCTCTGAATTTATTAGGAATCAGGAATGCTTAATAAAACAAAAAATATATGGCGCTACTTTGTTGCGAAATCCTTCTAAACTAGTGTTATTAAAAGAACAAAACGTGGCTATAGCAAAAACTGCTTTAGACGTAGGTAATTGCAGGTAAGTATCATAAAATCCAGAATACCTGTGCAGAATACCTTGAAGCTTTAACAAAACACCATTCCACCTGATGCATGGTGAACGTCAAACAAGTGACAATTTGTCATTAAATTAATTTCAATATTTGTGTCGCGGCATAAAATTTGGAATTATTATTTTATAATTATTATATTATAACTGCAAGTTCAAAGCTGTAAAATGGGCGAACCTGTGGCACCTTCGTCGTCGCATACATCCGTAACGAAGGAAGATGTAACGAATTTGACCAACATTTCCAAGGCCATATCGAGGGGAAAGGCAAGAACAGCTAGCGTATCGTTTTTGGCCTTCCAAGAGTCGCAAAAGGAAAAACTGGTATTATAAAGCTTTCATTTTAATTTTTTTCCATCGATGTATTTGTAGTATTCTTTATAAAAAAATCATGTGCAGCGCCGCACACGTGGTAGAAGTGAAACTTCTCAAAAACTATCTCTTTCTTATACAAATTTAAACATTTAGCGACCTTAGCGTATGAGTCAGGGTACAGACTTACAGACGAAGGATCACACAAAAGTAAGACGCGCATCTGTAGTGACATCACAAGAGTATGGGCGCTTGACAATAATAGGCAATCCTCTTTGCGCTTATAATTCTTGATTTGTGGAATATAATTTTTAAAAATCACCGAACACAAATTCATAAATAACGAAATTAATCATAAAACACAATGATAATTATAGTTCAACAAAAGGGAGACGCGCATATGTATTGACGTCACAAGGGAATGGAAGCTTGTCAATAATAGGCAATCCTCTTTGCGCTTATAATTCTTGATTTATGTCAATCAATAGCTGTCTTCCTTCGTCTCTTCACGTTATGCCTTTCTTCTCTCTCCAGTAACGAAATTTGCCCGTGACGCGTTTTTCAAATCATCTCCATTGTCGTCCAAATATCAGACCGCCGCCTTATGTTTCACTGCAAGATTGAAGTCGCATTTAATGAGATAAGATCATCCCTCAAACATATTATAATTGCTTTGATTTCAAATAAGTGATGTGGCCTATATCATTATCATAGGCTATCACTCGATACCGAGAGTATACTTCTGGTTTATGCTTAATTTGTTTATACCTACTATCTATATCGCTTTTTTCTCAGATTAGATGCAAAGAACTTCGAGCTGCGAGATTTCAAGAACTGCAACTACCGCAAAGGCACATTTGCGATATGGTTGCCACATATTTGGGAATTGAACCTAATGAAGTTTTGGAAGGTGCAGCTGACGACGATGCATTTATTTATCTGATGAATAATTTATTAGAAAAATCGGGAACAAAGTGCATTTTTTTATTTTATCAGGATGGACCAGTATATCAAGTGGGTAAATAAAAGATTAATACTCGCTAGAATGTTATTTGTGTATTTGAAATGAAAACTCTCTCCACCATGGCCTGATCCAGAATATTCCTATAATAGTTTGAGCTGAAACCCTAGTAATATCCTTTATTATAAGCGTGTTTTTCAATTATTCTAGAAACTGGCCGATTCAATATGTCAGCAAAACCTCCAATAAAACGAATCATTATCACCAAAGGAATCACACCTGGACTTCGCGAGAAGGCGATTGCGGTTTACAAGACAAAAAATATTACTTTAGATTTGAGAAATATTACTGACGTAAGCCCGGCCATTATAGTACAATGAAATATCTCCAATAATTTAAATCTTCAGGAAATTAATTTCATACAAGTAGATATGGATCAGGGGAAAGGCAATCTGGCCACTATTGCATCTGATATTTTTGGCCAACTAGTAAATCCTATACTAAGATTGTCTAAGGAATGGGGCGATCTGCCCAAAACTGCAATGGGAGTACTACAGAAATTAAACTTTTTGGGAGATTGGCAAGGTTTTGTAGAATTCTTGGAGAGTAAGTGGTACCTATATCTTGATGTTGAACATTATTGGAATTTAAATTTTTCAGCAACTAAGTTGGATTTGGGTAAAATAGTAATATTCACTATGGATTCTGAATTGTTGAAAACCCTAAGTGACGAAGAACAACGAAAGAAACATTATTATGACTCTCAAATCATTCAAAAAGTTGAAAGCCAGGTTCGAGTATGGCATAAATTGATAGAACGGGTGAGTATGATTCAGAGCATTTTATTACTGAAAGAATAAGAATTAGCGACAGATTTATTCACTTGAGGTACGTCGACAATGATAAAAGTTCGACAGGGAAGTCAAAAGATGTGTAAAGTCCCAAATGGCATGCCTGACACGAGGTACTGGTATCATTGAATTGACCTTCAGTGCCTCTGGCATATTTGAATTTTGAAAGGCTTCACCACGAGTAAGACTAGTCTTTTCAAAGCTTTCCAGTCTCTTGATTTTTCTCAACAAATTTTATGCTGAAATCTCGCAAATCCCTTGCCTTCTAAAATCAACTTCAAGTTGATGCTATAATATTCAAATATATTTTTTCAACAAGTGAGTTAACTTGAACATCTTTTATTATTTTTCTTGCTGAAATTGGGAATTGAATAAAAATTGCGTTGTTTTGTTAGTGTGCATTATATGAAGTTTCTATTTTTTCAGTGTTTGGTACAATACAGGCAAATTAGAAAAGAAAACATGTTTGTCGGACCAAATGTAGAAGTGGAATACTGGAGGAGACAACTCGCGAGGTTCACTGGGATTGTTGAATTTCTGGAGACCGACGATAACAACGTATTTATAAGCTTTTTAAGGTCATGCGCAAGATCTGAAACTCTAAAAGTAAATAATTTTCACAACCTCTTATTATAATAATATGTATACCGTAGTACACAAAATAATGTAACTTCCACCACTTGTGCCATAAACACAATCTAGTTCCACCAAGCAGATTTACTTCAACTCTTAGCTCCAGTACATAATTAGATATCTTGAAGAATAAAATTCGAATTTTTGATGTCGGTTAACGCGTTAAGTTTTTTTTTTTCTGTAGACATGGAAAATACATGTAGACTCTGTATATGATACCCGAAACGAATGCTCGGACAACCTGAAATATCTATATTCAATGGAAAAATATTGGGAACCTTTATACAGATTAGAGCCTCCTGAACTGATGCCGCACATACCACCAGTTCTTCAGGCCATAAGAATGGTCTTCACGACGTCAAGATATTATAATAGCACTGGACATGTGACCGCGATACTAGTGAAAGTATCTAATCAAATAATTAAGAAATGTCGAGATTATTTGGATTGTGAAGGAACAAAAACTGTGTGGAATCAACCAAAGGCTGTTATTCTTGAAAAGATTAAGGTATGCCTATCATACTCCATAAAATTACAGTAACCACTTGAAGGAAATAGTAAAAATCTCTCAGAAATTAGGTTTTAACTTAACGTACAAGTGAAACGATACGAATTTCGTCACCCCACGTACATTTTAAATTTTTTATGCTTAAATTATCTTACGTTCTAGATATGTTTGGACGTATATCTCAAGTATTATCAATGCTTTAGAAGAACACAAAAGCAAATGAGAGAAAGTGGAGAAAAGCCATTTGAATGCTCTGAAAGTTTTATTTTTGGTAAATTTGAAACCTTTAAAAGGAGATGCGAGCAGGTACGTTGTTATATTATTTTTTGTTCAAAGCAAAAATATATTTCAAAGTAAATAACTTCCACTGCCGCCGCCTAGTTTTTAATGGGATCATGCAATACTGTCAATGCGGTTTTAATGCAGACAGTTTGAGATTCTTTGTTTGAATAGAAATAGAATGTTGCAGTCATACCACTTCTTGTGACGCACCTGTCCCTTATGTTATGAGGTCACCTTTAGAACAAGCTCATTTATATCTTCCCCTAGACTTTAGAGAAATTTAAATGATTCTGGCAACGTCGCAGAATTAAAGCTTTTTCTTTGAGGGATTTCAAAAAACATAAAACAAGGAAATTGTTCCTATCACTTACTTCCTGCAAAATATCTATGGGACTTAGGTGGAGAGTTAAATTCCTTCATATTTGCCATATCTGTATGCGGTATATCTGTGAATTCCAATATTATAAATTTTACATTGAATTTTCCTTTCAGATAGTATACGTGTTAAGAACTACCATCAAATACTCGATTTTACAGTCGAGTACCATTGAAGGAATTGACGTATTCGCCAAAAAGTTTATAGATTTTTATAAAAGTATTTCTAGCCAAAAGTATGACGCCTTAAATCATAGATCTCCTACTTTTGAAACGGATTATAATCAATTTAAACAAAATGTAGTCGATACTGAATGGGAACTAGAAGAATTTGTAGGTGCATCGTTGGAAAAAATGGCCGATGTTGAAAATATTTTAAGACTATTGAAACGGTAGGTTTAATATGATGGTTATTACTTATTATTATAAATATAACGTCGATGAAGATCTTCAGTTGATAAGTTTCGATAAACAAAATATATAAGTTGTGTACTTTAAATAAAATTGATATTTCCGCAGGCCTTGTATCATCCATATACCTACCATATGGTTATTTTTAAAATCTACTTGCATTTAGGAAAAAATGGACCAAAAAAAAAACTATCATGCACAGAGATATTTTGTTTTTTTCCTTGCTAATTTATGTTATTTTTAAGGTTTGAAAAATTAAATTTTCCATGTCTACATTTGGAAGAAAGGTATTTAGAGGCCATGATGCTGTTTCAATATGAAATAGAAAAATTGAGAGACAGATATAATGAAGATAGACAGACACCTGATATTCCCAGATCTATGCCTCCTGTTAGCGGTCGAATTTACTGGATTCGTCAGTTTTATGCCAGAATTACCGAGCCAATGGAAATATTCAAGACTAAAACTCGTGTAAGACATTTCTCACACGATTTATTATTATTATTATTACTATTTACGATACTTTATGAAGATAATTATCTTTTCATTACCTACTCGTTTGTGTTTTCCAAGGTGATGCAGCATAGAAAAGTTCAGAAATGCATCCAACTGTTCAATGCTATGTCAATGTGTTTCGTACATTACGAAAATATCTATCATGATGCCTGGTTCGATTATGCTGGACAGGTAAAATCTTTATTGGATATATTTTCCATGGATTTACTATTATAGGTTAACTTGGTAAGGTATTTATTTCAAAAGTGAAATTTCACTAGTTGATCCGAAATGAAAACATTGATTGGGTTAAAATAGTCTGTATTATTCAAGCTTAAGGTTAGGGTCTCTAGTCCTTATTGCCAGTCTAGGAAATTGTTTTGTTTAGTAGTAATAGTTAATGAGTTAATATAGCACTGTCAATGTCCAGGGTCGTGGGTACTACTACAACAAAAATATTTTATATTGTAGGTTAGATACTCCTTGATAAAACCTATAATGACAAAAGATGAAAAAACTAGAAGGTATTTAGTGAACTTCAATCCATATATATCCGAAGTTATACGAGAGGCCGAATACCAATACAAGTTAGAATTAGGTGAGTAGATGATATTAAATAGTTTCTAATGCAAGAGAGAGGTTCATAAAAAACATTACCTTATGTTTTATGCACTGAGGAAATTCGCCTATTTAAAATATTATTTCTTTAAATCTTAAATTTTTAAAATGTTTACTAAATAAAAGTAAATGTGTCAACCATGTATGCGCTCTGAAGTTCAGGGAACGGGGACGCGCCATACAAAAAGAGTACCGAACGGTTATTCAATTTTTATTTTGTATTAAATTGATTGTTCAATACAATTTGTGATTAGTTTGTGTGTCATAAGGAGTATTCACAGGTCAGTTGAATAAATGTTATTTTGTTTTTGAGACTTCAATTTATACAAGTATTATTTTTTCATTTTTATGTTTTTTTTTTTTGTTTCTTTACAACATTTTTTATAACGTGTGTATTGTTCATGTATGCATTTAACAAAAATCGTTTCATGCTGTGAACGTCGCAGATTGAAAAGTAAATTAAAACCAAAGAAATATTATGTGGGTACCACTGTCTTTTGTGCTGGGAATTTGGATTTTTGTTATTCAGAGCGTACATTAGGGCCTTGTTGAATCTACCAACACTTTCCTACCTTGACGAGCGACTATCCTAGCAAACAAATTGGAAAATCAATCTAGAGATGTCATTGGGTGGTACGAATAAAAACGAAGTATCTGCTACTACTACGAGTAGTAGTCTACCGGGTGTTTTTCAAAACCCGCTCACCCCTATAACTTTTTTATTTTTCCAGATAAACAAATGGAATTACGTGTGTTTATTTATGACACGGATGTGCATTATTTGACGTATTGACGGTTTGACCGGAAGTGACCCTAACTTTCTTATTTTAAATGAGACGCTAGGTATATTTTTCCTCATTTTAATAGAAAACTACATTACGAGTACAATGACATCTGATTTGTCAATTTTTGACATTTTATCACCAAATTATTTAAATTTTTACTTTTTAATCTAGAGCGCTATGAATAAGTCAAAATGCTTAATTTTGCTCCTAGGAACATGGGAAAATTTGTTTTGATCTTATTTCATATTTTATATCTTCTACAGACCAAAAATTCTTCAGTATTGAATAAAGGTAGTGTTGATTGAATGTAGTGTGTGTAATTGAAATTTTAGCACAAGAACAGGTACGGTACCTAGTTTTAAACTTTCATTGAGTCATAATATTTATTAAAATGACACAGTATGTTTTGATTTTAGAAGAATGTTAGAAGGTTTCGATCGAGGGTTTCTCTGCCGTGGTCTTTCCCCTCGTGAGTTCCAGGTCGAGAACGGTACGATTTTCTAATAATAAATTAGACGTTTCACAAATTTTTCCTTTATTTTACATATGACAACTTCCCTTAAATTTCCCTAATATTTGCTAATGTCGGGCGCATGTCAAGTAAGTGAAATTGAGTGAGTTTCCACAACGTAGGTCTTATTTGCTTTTCATTTCGTTTTTCAGAAGATTTGTTGTTTAAAAAGAGATAAAAAATTCATATTGTTCAATCCTGCTGAACGAAGCCGGGTATTTTATACTACAGCATTATTTTTGGTGAAGTAGCAAGGAGCTTCAATTTAAACTAGTTATTCTGGGAATACTTCTCAGTGCCTAACCGATAATCACCTGCATCATTACCGAAATCATAGTTAGAACAGCCAATAATGCCAGCTTTTCGATTCCATCAATCTTACAACGTTCCACCAACCTTGCAAAAATTACCATTGTATTGTACTACTTCTTTCCTCAAAACTAGGAGATTCTTTTGCTTGTGCTTTACATCCTAGGGCGGTCTTTCGTTGTTAATTTATTTTTGACATTTTCCAACATTAATAATTTTATAGAGCTTCCTGATGTGGGTCAGGTCCTAGTATTCTGTAAAGAAAAATTATTGAAATCGCGCGAAGTTGTTAAGGCATTGATAGAACGTAACGATAAAATAAGATCCACCATTCCACCATTGTTTTTACCAATGATGCGTGTTCAGCTGCTTAAAATGGAAAATGCCTTTATGCCTGGATTTTCTACAATAACTTGGACTTCGACAAAGATTCCGGAATTTTGCCGGGAAGTAACGGCAGTGCTTGACTACATCGAGATGTTTGTTAAAGAAGTAAGTAGTCTTACTAAGCTCCAATGATATCTGTACTAAACTATAATAAAATAAAGGTACGTGATATGAAAGAAGCTAGAATAGATGAGGTTTTAGAAGCTATTGCTATGATGTCTTTAGTATATTTGCCCAATGTACCAATAATTCCGGCAGAGTTTTTGCGAGAGAATATCAAGCATAGGGAAGATATTGGTATAACGTATGTCAGGAAGTTCTGTTTAAAACTAATAAATAAATATTTGCAGTTACCGAGCTTCAGTTAAAATCAGATGCTATTGAAAAGTGCGTCAAGGACCTGATAAATAAGTTTTTGAGCGTTATAGAACAGCCAAATCTGCAGGAGAATAAGTACAACTGGTTGGATCCGGAAAAGGCAGTGAGACCTATTGGTTCGACGTCACGTTTGCTGACATCAGCAGATGCTGGTAATTATTACAAAGCTGTTTTTTATTTATTTTTATTTTTTTTTGAAGAATTTTTCCGACGATTATAAGCTCCATCTCACACACCTATTAGGACTGATAGAATGGTGAAAAGGGTCGTAGATTTCATTGGAATACTTCAATTTAAAGTTAGTGCTACAAATGAGGTCATTTTGATTAATTTTAGCTTTCAAAGAAATTGACAGAAACGTCCCATTGGATCTAACCAACATCCACAGTGACTGCATTGAAATGTTCGCCTATTTTAATATGAAGCTCACAGACGCTTTAATTAAGGCCACAAAGTTGTCTCTAGAAAAAGTAAAACAACGCGCTACAAGGTAAAAATGCTGACATCAACCTGGTTAGTCTTCCACATTATTTACATTTTAGTATTGGTGGAGAAATACCCTTGATGTGTACTCATATGATCCTACAAATCCCCGTAGCTACTATAAGTCCAAACTTGGATGAGATCCAGTCATATTTCTCTCAAGTCCTCCAAAATATACTTGATGTTCACAAATATATCGGTTTATGGGGTCAAACTAGGCCTGTAAAGTCTGCCTTGAAAGGAGGTATTTAGGCAAATTTTGTTTTTTTTTTTTTTTCAATATAAACCATTTTTATACAATTTTAGGAGCAAAAGGGCCAAAAGATAAAAACTATTATAAGTCAGTTAGTGAAAACAAAGAAATTGTTCGTGTATACATGAGTTTGCAAGGAGTCATGTATCTGCTGAGTCCCGATGTTGCTAGTCTTTTGGACGTAAATAGATAAATGATATTTGAAAAATAATAATAAGGAATATGTTTTGAATACAGGAATATCTAAAATGGAAATACTTATGGGTGGAAGATAGAGATAAAATTATAGACGACTTTTGTGCACAGAATCCTTTACTGGTTGAAATCTCAGAGAAGTTTACAGAATACGATGCACGAGCAGAAACTATTCGAGCTTTACCAGAAAAACACGATGTAGGTGCAATAAGGATTCTTGTGGGTAAGTTAGATTAGATAAACTGTTATTTTGCTGGCAAATTAAATTCAATTTTTTTAAGAACACCTAATAATTGCGCTTCTCGTGGAATCAGAAGCGTGGAAGCATATTATGGGCAAAAAATTGAGTGAAAGCTATAAAAAGAAACTGGTTACCATGGTGGACTTTATTAAAACACAAGAAAAGGTCTTAAACAAGCCTATCAAAGATTTGGATGATTGCAGGTACACGAAAATTAGGCTACGTCATTGGTATAGGTTTTCTGATAACTTTCACTCATTTCAGAAATGCAATGAATTGTCTAACTATTATACGCGAAAACTTCATCGAAATGGACATGGACTTAAGTTTAATGGAAGAAGCATATGGTACCTTCGGCAAATTTAAAATCGACACTCCTAAAGAAGATATTGAACGGGTAGAAAGCTTACGCTTCAACTTCCAAAACATGATTTCTCATGTAAGAAATTGTTTTTTTTTTTTTTAATTCAAGCTCTTGACTTATTTTCGGTTTGCAACGAGCATCCTTATAGGTTTGTGTCATTGCGGCGAGCAAATAATACACACAAGATTAACCCAAACTAACCGGGTTATTATCGGTAAGTTTGGTTATGTCTGATTGAACAGAAAAAGTGAAAATTCGTGCATTTTTCCTGAAATACGACGAATTAACAATACGACGAATTGACGTATACGGTAAATTGCCGTTTTATTAGTTTGCAATTCTAATCAGACATTATCAAACTTACCGATAATAGCCAGGTTAGTATGGGTAAGTTTGCAATGTTATGTCTAATTAAAATTGCAAACTGACCGGGATATTATCGGTTAGTTTGGTATATAATGTCTGATTAAAAGAAAAAGTGTGAATTTATACATTTCACTATTATACCTGAAATACGACGAATTGACGTATACCACGAATTACCTATACGACGAATCAACAATACGACGAATTGACGTATACGACGAATTGGCGTATACGTCGAACTGACGTATACGACGAATTGACCTACGACGAATTGACATAGACCCGGTTCGCGAAAACATGATGGATATGCCAGGATCCTTATTCTTGAAATGGGGAAGCAGCATTCCCAGGAGAACGAAAGTTCCGTCTTTGCTACTTATATTATCATTTACATATTACTGAGAAAGACGGAACACTCGTTCTCCTGAGAACGCTGCTCCCCTGTTTCAAGAATGAGGACGCAGGAATAATTGGATATGCGGTACAGGATTGCGATTTGATCTGGTAATGGAATTTATGTGTCGGAAATCTCCACAAGCACGTTACTGACTATTGGCTTTTTGGATGATGTGAAGTTAGCCCATGACGACTTCGATGGCTGAATGATACTCGCTTGCATAAGTTCATTGAACTCAACTCTTGCAGCGGAAGCCTGCATGACTTGGAGCATAACGACGAACCTTGGGTGTTGATGTAGTGCAGGACTTTTCCAAGGTCATCTGACGCACTAGTTGGGCGATCCTAATAATGGGCGATAGTTAGCCCAACGTCCTCACATGTCGACACACACGAGGCATCTATTTCTCATATCTACGGTGATACCATGGTATGCGAGAAAGTCGGCGCCTGAGATGGAGGTGATGTCTGCGACTATGAAGGTCGAGGAAACCGGATGGCCTAGACCGGATTTCAACGTCAGTTGCTTGTGCTTATACGTGTTGATGCATGAACTAGTAGCAAAGTATATGTTCCTTGGCTTGGAGCTCAAATCTTCGGTGGTAATGACAAGGCCTATAAGATGGTGAGCTGCTAGTTGTTTGGACTAGTCAAGACTGCTGGATTCTCTCATCAATGCCTATTTTTTTGGACCACGCATTTATTTGGTTACTTAAATGAATGGATGAAAGTACCTCAGTTTTGGAGCCAAGAAGATTCGGTTTTATCGTTTGTTCAAGTTGAAGCAGTTTTCTCAAACTCGAAGATCAAATATAAAAACATTATTTCTGCTTCGCCGCCTGAAACTGCTAGCTGTCTGAGAGATATTTTGGTGGATAATATGTTCTCAAACTCATATGAAAATTTTGAGAATGAAATCATCAAGAGAACGACTCTATCTGATTCGGATCGAATACGACTTCTTATGCATTCAAAGTTTGATGAAGAACGACCCTCAAGGATTCTCAGTCATATACAATCAAGAATCAGAATACAAGAATGAATGAATGAGTTAGGGGTATTGTTATACTGCGACCTGCATAGATCTATTATGCCCCTTCTGGGTGCTTCAGTCGATAGGATTCTCACTCAAAATACCTCATCCAGCTTTAAAGCTTTTATGAACGAAAGTATGCTGGATGGTCCTATGGATGGAATTTTTTCCCGTTCAACGGTGAATCCGCCACAAATTTGCATTCCTTTTTATATGCCTCTCTTATCAGCATTATGTATTTTAGCTAGACTAGCTCGCATTGGGATACCTTGAGTTATTTTGTGTAATAACTAGCAAACCTTAATGATTGCGAAATACACGAAATAACTTAATTTGAGCTAGTCCTCATGGCAGAGACTACCTTGCACTGTGTTCCTTTGAGACTTTCTGCTTATTATGACTGTACGCTCCAGGAGACTCTAATTCTCTGGATAGTATTTTCTGCTTGATCCCGATGGTTTAGGATAGAAGAGCAGAAGGGCCTTAGTACCAGACAGGACTTAAAGTCACGGCACTTGCACTAGGGCGTAAGATAGGTAACTTACAACCAGACTAGAGCACTTGTTGTAAGTTGGAAAAAAAGGACCCAAGCCAGACAAAGCACTTGCTATAAGGTTTAAATTAACCTGTAACCAGACAAAGCACTTGCTACAGGTTTAGAGAAGGGCCTAATGTAACCAGACAGAGCACCTGCTACAATAAGGCTAAAGAAAAGTAATTGTTAGAGCGCAGTCTCACGACTCTACTAGCGTTGCTAGGCCAATGGTGACTTGGGCACAATTTAAGTAAGAGAAACAACAATAAGTTTGAATCTGATTTTATTAATGAAATTGATCACCTTTTATATACAATAAATGCTGATTTTGCACACATCGATTGTCGTCATTTCCAATAATAAAAGTAGGTTGCTTATAATTAATTAATTCTAATATGTACAGTATGGTAAAAATATTAAGATTAAATGTTCCAATTTGGATAAATGGACATTCTGCCGCCTCTCAATTTGTCGACTTCAGGGACTGTAGTTCATACTCTTCAGGTTTGTTGGTGGTCTTTTTCTCTCTTGTTCGAAGTCTTAGATATTTGATGCCTATCCAGACACCCAAAACTACCAGGATTGTTGCAATGGTAGTTGTCACTCCAACTATGCTAGAATGATGTCGTATATCTCTCCATATATGATTTTGAAGTTCAATCTGAATTGACTTCTCTTCTGTCATTAGTGAGGTTAAATCATCTGAATGCCCAATTACTGACTCAGATGCTGGCCGAAGTTGTGAATGTTGAATATGTGTGGGTTCGTCGTGTCTATCGAGTGAGACAGCTTTGGAATAGCTGGTTAAACTGCTATGCTCCACTCGTATTGCTGTTAGTGTTAGCTGTTTGGTTTCTATAATACAATCGGGAGCCAAGCTGAGAATTCCTGTTGCAATAATGTCAACATCTTCCCGGACTCCACCACAAATAATAGCTATATTGGCTGATCCATTAGTAATAAATAACCATGTATTTGGCGTGGCCATTTGTTTCCATATAGTAGCCTGCACTGAATTTGTGAAAGTTTTGCATTTCTTGGCTTCAGGCTTATGGTATATTTCATCAATAATACAGTTGCCGTCGTTATTTATGTTTCTTATAACATCTGGAGAACAGAGAAACATGTGATGTTTTAATTTCAAGCATCGTTCGAATTCTTCTTTATGGAGTTGAAAGTAAAGCTGAGAGTTATAATCGATCGCGATATAATCGTTCGATATATCTAATGTCCAGTAAGAGTTGTTGGATATTCGTACTGGAATTGGGGTTGCTTTTATAACATCAAACTGTGATATTTCTATTATGGGAAAATAGCCAAAAACTTGGAAGTGGCTGCTATTCTGACATAGGGACATTTTTATCAAAGGCGTAGATAATGCTTTTAAGTTGTTCGGTAATTTTCTGTTGATATCCGTTATCAGAGTATGAAGATACGTTGGAGATATGATGTCGTAGATTGTTCCCCTGTTAAACTGGATATTTATCATATTCTCGTAGTATGAACTTATTTCTGCAATGTAGTTAGTTGCTATTTGATAAGTGCTTAGGACATGAATGTTTAGGCTGTTAATGTCTATACTTGAAAACCATTTGTTCATAGATTGAATTGCTTCTAATCCTTGATTAAGCCTTGTTTGGAATCTGTGAAGTTGGTTATTTATTTTTTGTTCGGTTGTATTGAATGTTGATAGTGCGGAGATCATGAATTGTGTCTGGTGATTGGAAGCTTTTATCAACATTTCTTGATTTTTGTTTATATTATTTATATCCTCGTAGACCTCATCGTTGACGCCAAAAACGGACGTCATAAATTTTCCCAATAAACCTCTTTTTGGACGAAGTTGTATCTCTTGCAGGGTCTTAAATATCCAGCTAAAATGTTGTTGTTGCTCTTTTAGATGATGGTCCAATATTTCACAGTGCGTTTCTTCCGATAGTTGTCTTGTCTTGTTACACAGCATCTCAAAATTGTTGACGACGCTAGTTACATTCTGGATGTCTTCCTTGATTTTTGTTCTGTTATAAGTGACTTCCATTCTAAATGTTCCTCTATTTATTTGTGCCGTTCCAAAATGTTCGATGTAAATACCTCCTTCGGGATATTTTATAACATAGCTGCTTTGACATTTTGGGAGAAGCATCAAACTGACCCATAACATAAATAGTTGAATGATTTGAAAATAAGATACTTTTGATTTCTTGGTTTTCACATGCTGCTTCACAGTGCATTCTCTTTTGATATTGTGACTGCTTGAGGTTATGGCCATATTTGCTGTAACCTGAGTGGGAATGGTCAGTGTTTCTTCTCCCATTTCTTCTAATGGAAGTGGGATCAGTGTATGTATCGGTCGTTTCAATGTAGCTCTGTCTGCTTTCTTGAGTGTGACTACTCTTACTACGCCATCTCTTCCAGGATGAACATCTGTTATGCGTGCTAAGGGCCATTGGCTGGGATTTATTGTATTTTCTTTTATAATTACCATGGTTCCTTTCTTAAGGTTGGTTTCCTGATTTTGCCATTTATATTTTTGCTGCAATCTTCCTAAGTATTCTGTGCTCCAAACTTTCCAGAAGTCCTTTTTCATTTTTTGGGTAAGCCTCCATTTCTCTGACAAACTGGAATTTATATTACTTGCTATTGGGTCAATTGGAGATAATATTCCCCTTCCAATTAAAAAATGACCAGGAGTTAGGACGAAATAGTCGTCTACTTCGTCAGAGAGTGGCCTAGAATTGAGGCTTG